CCACCCCCTTATCAAAAAATAATTTTGGTAGGGCCTTGTCTTAGTGCAGGCTAGAAGAACGGAGATTATCGTGGAAAACAGATGGTATACCTTTGCGTACTTAAGGTACTGTTAAGGAAACAAATAAGATTTCATTTCCTTCCCATTACAGGTGAGAGAGAGAACAGTTCAAACATGATCTAGTGATGGCATATCTGAAAGACCAAAGCAATATGATCATCTTGGTTATAAGGGATGATTAAAGGCATGGGATAAAGAGCAGAAAGTGATATATTTATCATTTGGAAGCTTAATGCATTCAGGGAGAAACTAAAAGGTGATAAAAGTCATCACATTTACACTCAATTACTTGGACTCTATGAGGTGAAGTTTTGGCCACATTTCTCAATAAATACCATGGGATTGTGGCAGTAAAGCTAACTGAATGCATTTCAATAAATTGAACTCTAACTTTCCACTGAATTTTTCTTGTAAAATTAGGGCCACATTTCCACATGGGGGCAAAAAGAACTTTACAGCCAGTCCTGAAACATAGTAGATATTTTATTTTATTTTAGACAGGATCTCACTCTGTCACCCGGGCTGGAGCACCCAGGCTGCAGTGCAGTGGCGCCATTGTGGCTCACTGCAGCCTCAACTTCCTGAGCTCAAGCAATCCTCCTGCCTCAGCCTCCTGAGTAGCTGGGACCACAGCGCCATCATACCCAGCTATTTTTTTATTTTTATAGAGGTGAGGTCTCACTACGTTGCCCAGGCTGGTCTCGAACTCCTGAGCTCAAGCAATCCTCCCTCTTTGGCCTCTCCAGGTGCTGGGATTACCAGCCTGAGCCACTGGGCCTGGCCCCATCCTCATCATTTTAATACACCATTAGGACATGGTCCACTACCTGTCAAGTGAAGTTGTCTTCCCCGAAGGCAGGAATGTCTTTCATTTTTGTATCCTCTTCATCTAATTGACTACCTGGTCTCATCACTTATCACTGAATGACTACTAAACGGCTGAATGAAGAAATGTAATTGCTGAGGCTGAGAATGCAGAGTGATATACCTTGATAACTCTGTGGCCCCTTCCCAACTCTGAGATCTCATTCACCTTTGCCCACTTGTCACTGCATCAGTGCATGTGCATGTAGTGTATGCATGTCCATAAGCACAGATTCCCCACATGGGTTTCTCTTTTACGAGGGACTCAGGGACTCAGAGCCCTCAAAATCATCAGTGACAGGTCACCTAAATCTCACATCAAGCTGTGAGTCATCAGGACTGAGAGTCCGCAGGGACAGGTTAAAGGTGCCTTACTTTAACAAGAATATAATGAGCACCTACCCTGTGCCCAGCCTTGTACTAGGAATGTAGAAATGCAAGAAAAGTCTTATATGAGCTCAACTCTAGGGGGATGTGTAATTTGGCAGACAAGATAAGACAGACACATTAAACTACAGACAGCCAAATCCAGTGCTGAAATGTGTGACACAGGCGATCAGGGTTATGTGAGGGCACAAGAAGGGATGAGTGTGGTGTGGAGTCATTGATGAAAACTTCACAGAGGAAGGTGCATTGAGACTGAGGTGTGGCTGGGATGTCCAGTGGAGGTGCAGTGTTGTGGCCTGCAGTTAAAACCATGAGAGGCTTTGAGGTCAGAGAAACGTGGGTTTATGTCCTGCCCTGGCTTTTCTCTTTCTGCCATGTGACCTTACCTCTCTAAGCTCCAGGTGTCTCATCTTTAAAGTTGGAATAATCATATGGGCATGTAGAGAACTAAGGGAGATAATCCCCGTGCCGTGCTTGGCACCACGTCTGGTACCTATGATGATGATGTCCTTGACTAGAAAGGCTGGAAGACAGTAAGTTCAGTGAGGGATGTGTTCAGTGACAGCAAGGTCTCCAGACAGGCTCAAGATTCAAATTCAAGAGTCCTGGGCACACAAGTGGGAGAGAAAGCCATAGTCGGGATGAGTTCTTTGTAGGAGGACAGAACCAGAAGGACAGAGGGAGCAAGGCCTCTGGAAACATGTGTGTGCACGGCTTCTGCTGCACAGATCTGAGTGCCTTGAAGCTAATGCCTTCGCTTCACCCCCTATGTAAGAAACCATTCTTGCCCCTCTGTAACTTCATTCTGTTCTACTGTGACAATCTGCTCCCCATCCAAGTCCTCTCACAAGCCATGCCATGATGAGCAAAGGGTGAGACTGGATCAGTGCAAATCCATCACCACTCAAAGCTTATGCTCTACGGACAGTTGAGCTTGGTACCCAAAGCATCACACGGCCATTAGGATAGTGGTGTGTTGAACTCAGAAATCACCAGAACAGGCAAAAGATTCACAAGACACCATTCATCCATCCATCCATCCATCCATCCATCCATCCAGCAAAGATGCAGCAAGATGCAAAATGGGCCTTGCCCTGTATTATTAATAGCTGAGTAATGAGAAAGATGAATAACACACAATCCCTGCCCTCAGGAAGACAGACTTGTAAACAGTTCATCACAAGCCTCGTACTCTGGTCTCATAGAGAACTTCAAAGTGCTTCAGGATGAGTTACGTGTGTTAGGGTGGGACAGTGCCCATCAAGTCATGTTTAGCAGGAGTTGACACCACTACTGACCCTTCAGGTGGCCACTCATGAACTCGTCCATCCGGGTGAAGGGCAGGGGGAGGCTTGCTCCCTGCTCTGCCTCCCTGCCCTCCTCCTTGGCACATTTTCTTGTTACTGTGAGCGTCATCCACCCTCCTGACTGTACTTTTAGCATAAATGTGCCCCAGCAATGCTGCTCTCTCATCTCACTGCTGTCTCAGGGTCCTTCAGTGACAGCTTTTCAACCTGCAGCCTCACCTCTGCAGCCGTCCTGTGTCACCTCCACCTACAACCCACTTAGTCAGCTCTACCCACTGCCTGCCCTAGTTCTTCAGCCCTGTTCAGACCTGCCACGCGAGCTCAAGGCTCCCTTTGGGCTTCTCCCCTCCCTTTTCTGGTCCCATCCAGAGGTCTGTCCCCACCCTGGCCTGGAGAGGCTCTGTGTCAAAGTGCAAAATAAGAAGAGGGTGAGCTAAAATCTGTATGCAATTAAATGTTTAAACTAAAAATTATAAGTTTTTATGAAATGACAGTAGTGTGTGTGAAGAACCCTTAGGAATAACCATATTTTTGACTCGGTCATTTTACCCCTTAGACTATGTCCCAGAGGAAGGGAGATATTGATCTACAAAGGTATTTATCACAGTATTTACAACAGGGGGAAAACTGAAAACCAACTAAATGTTTCAGAATAATCACCACTAAAATCTTGCTTTGGGCAAATATTTGATAATATAGGAAAATGCTTGGGATATAAAATTAGGTGGAAACACTAAGATGCTGAACTGTATGCATACTACTGAGAGCTGGACTCGGTATTGACTGCAAGCTTAGCAGTGAAACCAGGATGTTAGTGGTAGCTCTGCCTCTTCTTAGCTGTGTGACCTTGGTCAAGGTAGCAAGCTTTCTTAGCCTCTGATTCTGTCTTCAAAATGGAGATAATAATAGTAGCCGTCATATAGCGTTGTCTTGAGGATAATGTGTGTGAAGCATTTAGCACTATGCCCAGCTGGTAGATACTATTATTGTCATTATTAAATTGAGTGGGCTGTCATTGCTGGACATGAAGGGACAGGGATCCCCACAGCATTTCATGGTGGGATTTTCCTGTACTTAAAAGAGCACAGAGGGCCGGGCGCGGTGGCTCATGCCTGTAATCCCAGCACTTTGGGAGGCCGAGGCGGGCGGATCACGAGGTCAGGAGATCGAGACCATCCTGGCTAACACGGTGAAACCCCGTCTCTACTGAAAATGCAAAAAATTAGCCAGGCGTGGCGGCAGGCGCCTGTAGTCCCAGCTACTTGGGAGGCTGAGGCAGGAGAATGGCGTGAACCTGGGAGGCAGAGCTTGCAGTGAGCCGAGATCCAGCCACTGCCTTCCAGCCTGGGCGACAGAGCGAGACTCCGTCTCAAAAAAAAAAAAAAAAAAAAAGAAAGAGCACAGAGGCCAGACGCAATGGCTCACGCCTGTAATCCCAGCACTTTGAGAGGCCGAGGCAGGCAGATAACTTGAAGTCAGGAGTTCGAGACCAGCCTGGCCAACGTGGTGAAACCCCATCTCTACTAAAAATCAAAAAAAAAAAAAAAAAAAAAAAATAGCCGGGTGTGGTGGTGTGCGCCTGTAATCCCAGCTACTCAGGGAGCCGAGGCAGGAGAATCACTTGAACCCGGGAGGCGGAGGTTGCAGTGAGCCGAGATTCCCTGGGGAACTAGGGCTGGAGTGTGATTTTTTGACTTAAAAAAAAAAAAAGCACAGAATGGAAATACGGCAGAGGATAAAGAAAGGGAGTTGGCTGGCAAACAGAATGCATGGCCCCCAGGAATAAAGACAGCACTCGGCCTTCTTTCAATAATGTCTCTACGAGGTGGAAACTCTCACTCTTCTAAGCTCTTGTTACATGGTTTTCTTTCCTTGTTGGCTTGATCTGTGATGCTTTCCTAGAGAGGCTTCCAAGATCATACACCCAGGAAAAATCATACAGAATGTTTTGCTTGAGAATCTGATGGTCTCGAGCAATCATCCTAATCACAGAAAGGAATAGAATTCCAGTTGTGGCTTGAAGATGGCGATTTAGGGCCAGAAGAGAAGTGCAGTTGAGTCGGGCCTCTGAGTTTTGCCAAAGGAAAGGCATGCCTGTCCCACCCTCCTGGCGGAAGCAGAGCTCACAGCTTGCTAGATTCATTGGCTCAGGCAGTGCCTATCTGAGCAGTCAGCATCCCGACCTTTGCATAGAATCTCTCCCATGAGCTCCAGAAGTGGGGAGGGAAGTTGGAAATATCAGTATTCCAGTGTTCCAAACAGCTCCAGCACGGTCCTGCAGATGACGGACGGAAGATTTCTCCAGGTCCAGGCCCCAAAGTCCAGGAATACACAGGTCTGGAATACACAGCTCACAGGTGACTTTTTTCTGCCCTTTTGCAGTGATGAGGTGCCTGGGGATCCCCACCCGTGTGATCACCAACTTCGACTCTGGCCACGACACAGATGGAAACCTGATCATAGACGAGTATTATGACAACACGGGCCGGATTTTGGGGAATAAGAAGAAGGATACTATCTGGTGAGAAACAATCTCTCAACCTATTTCTAGGGCCACACATCAGAGCCAAGCCCCATGGCAGGAGGAAGGGCAGGACGATGTCTGTGAGTCTGCTCCCTCCCCTTCACCTCCTCCACCCCGCCCCCCGCAACGCCAAGGCTGCCCCCACACCTCTTGCCAATCTTCAGCTGGGAGACAGCTGAACAAAGCCCATTTGGGGTTTAGAAGTCTCACATCATAAGAACGTTCTGCCCCGGGTTGAGGTTTTCATCTTTGTCACCTCCTTCGCAGAACCTCCTGGTTCTGTGGGGCCTGGAGAAAATTTCCCCACTGCCCTCTGAAGGTTTGTTAAAAAAAAAAAAAAAAAAATCAACTCACAAAATCAGATCAATAAGAGAAAAGGCATACGCATTTATTAACGTATACACAGGAGCCTTCAGAATGAAGACCCAAAGATACCGTGGAAATTGTCCATTTTTATGCTTAGTCTAACACAGTATGGATAGCCACGTAGAAATATGCTTGGACAAATGGTATGATCTAATGCTAATAGACTGAGCGGGGAAACCCGCCCTGTCTGTCTACATTCTGCTTGGCCTCTCTGAGCATGAGTTCCTTCCTTCCCAACATGGGGCAGAACCCTCTCTAGAATGAGGGTCTTTTGACCTACAGTCAAACAAGGTAGGTCAGATAAAATTTTTATGGCCAATTTTATACACAAAGGCAGAGGGGAAGCCAGGGTAATATTTTTAGGTTTTAAGACTGCCTTTGGGGAAAAGGGGTTCTGGTTTTCATGACCTTCCCACCTTGGGGAAGAGAGATTTTAATTTCTATGGTTAGCCATGGGGGTAAATGAGGCTGAGAGACAGGAAGACAGGAAAAGGCCCAAAAAACACTTCTGCTTCTGAGACCTTCATTTTGGAGTATTGTTTCCTGAGTGCCAACAGTTCTGACCACAGGACGGCCTTACCTCCGAATACAAAGATGGCGACTGCCTCTGTGAGTCAGCAACACACACAAAGGGGCCACGAAGACTGTTTCATGAGACAGTGAAGGATTTTTAACTTCAGTGGACTCTGGAAGCCTTCACTTTCTGTTCACAAGCTGAGTCCGCAGAGGGAAACTCTTTTCTGGGAGGCAAACAAAGGTCCACGAGAGGAAGACCTGTCACTAATTAATCATTTTTTTGAGCCAGGATCTGGCTTTGCTGCCCAGGCTGGAGCGCAGTGGTCTGATCGAGGTCAACGCAGCCTTGATCTCCCAGGCTCTACTGATCCTCCACCACAGCCTCCCAAGTAGCTGGGACTATAGGCACGCGCCATGATGCCTAGTTAATTTTTTTTTTTTTTTTTTTTAATGAGACAAGGTCTTCCTTTATTGCCCAGGTTAATCTTGAACTCCTGAGCTCGAGCAATCCTGTCACTTCAGACTCCCAAAGTACTAAGATTACCGGCATGAGCCATCGTGCCTGGCTATCCACAGAGGTTTCAAGCCCTGTGTGTGCTAAGTCTCTCTTTCTATCCAACAGTTCATTTGCTCGTCCATCCCTTGCCTTGTTCTAGAAAGACCAAGCAGTACAATGTCTCCCTTGGCTCTGTTTGACACAGGAACTTCCATGTCTGGAATGAGTGCTGGATGGCCCGGAAGGATCTGCCCCCTGGATACGGAGGCTGGCAGGTGCTGGACGCCACACCTCAGGAGATGAGCAACGGTGAGGCTCTCCAGAAGAAAGGCAGGACCCGCTCCCATGGAAAGTGCCCCAACCCTGCCCAGCCCTGCAACAAACGGCCCACCGAGGCTCCCCTGTTCTCCTTCAGGCGTCTACTGCTGCGGCCCTGCCTCTGTCAGAGCCATCAAAGAAGGAGAAGTGGACCTGAACTACGACACGCCCTTTGTGTTTTCGATGGTGAATGCTGACTGCATGTCCTGGCTCGTCCAGGGAGGGAAGGAGCAGAAACTTCACCAGGACACGAGTTCTGTTGGCAATTTTATCAGCACAAAGAGCATCCAGAGTGATGAGCGGGATGACATCACAGAGAACTACAAGTACGAAGAAGGTAAGTAAGTAAGCCAGCCCTACTCACAGCCCCAGCCCTGCAGGAACCTTCCTCTACCCCGGGGAGCCAGAGAGCATCTGAGAGGCAGGACCCAGCCCCACTGTCGCCTCAGCCGTTCAGTTTTGAGGCCCTAGTTGGGGTGGCCCCAAGGCCTCACTTCTTCGTCACACCCCCCCGCCCCACATCCTGCAAGCCAGTGAGCTCCCGCCACAAGGCGCTCACATGGACTGTGGAGTCCAAACAGAATATGAATCCTTCACCCCTGCTTCCTGCCCCAAAATCAGCCTCCCACTGAAGACGGCAGGGAATTTAGTAAACACTATGCCATTCATTTATTTTATTTAGGGTATTGTTTAATTCATTGTGTTTCATTGAGTCTTTGGAGGACAGGCTGAGGCGAGCCCAGATGTTCACTCCCACCCTCCTCCCCGCGGGGCTGGCAGGACCAGAGGCTGACTCTGAGGTGACCGCCCTGGCAGCAGGGCCACCGGGAGGCTATGTTAATCCGGTATAGATGAATGCCTGGAAACTGAGAAACGCCAGCCACTGGGTTCAACTACCAGGGAACCAGGCAAAAATATCCAGTCCCTGAGGGCCAGAGGCAGAGTGAGGGCCAGAGGCGGGGGGAGGGCCAGAGCTGGGATCTGGCTGGGGAGGATCTGAGCAGGCGCAAGGCAGGGTGGGTAGAGGGCGGCAGGGAGGGCTGAACAGTTGCTGGGAGTACTGGTGAGTGGGTGTCTGTGGTTCGTCTACATGGGCCTCGGGGACAGACACAGGGAGGCTCCAGAATTCCCCACCTGGAAAGGGGATTCGCAGTAGGGGGCGAGTGTTGAACACAGCCCAGCAGTGCCATCACCACCCTCTCCCTGCGGCCTCTGGCCTCATCTTGGCTGGGTTGCCCCAGAAATGGATCCTGAGGCAAGCATTCAAATACAAGTGGTTTATTTTTGAGGCTATCCTGGAAATGCTGGTAGCAGAGTGAGGAAGGGAGACAGGGAAGGGGAGGAAGTGGATGTAAGAGTACATTTTCAAGCCTGTTAGCACAGTGACAGCTGGCTGGGAGCTCTGGGAGTGGGGTCGCCAGGAAAAATACAGGACAAATAATGCTTTAGTGTAAATACGTCCCAGGCCAGGAGCTGTAGCTCACACCTGCAATCCCAACACTTTGGGAGGCTGAGATGGGAGGATCGCTTTAGCCTTGGAATTTGAGGCTGCAGTGAGCTATGATGGCAACACTGCACTCCAGTCTAGGCAATAGAGTGAGACTCCATTTCTAAAAAAAAAAAAAAAAAAAAAAAAAAGTCCCAAATTCTTTGTTGTTTGTTTCAAATTACATTGCCTTGTATTTTTGTTTGCTAAATCTGGCAACCCTATCACTGATTCGGTGTGAAGTGCTGAACAACACCGCAGATTTATCGCACCAGAGAGGCACAGGGTCTAGGGTGTTTATCCATCAATTCCTGTCGGTCATGAGTTGAGGGCTGTTCCCAGGGGATGTAAATTCTCTCGCACTTCTGGCCCACCCCATGCATGAGCTGAGTCTGCTCTGGTAGCAGAGAAAGACTCAGACAGAGTTGCAGGGGCTGCAATTTGAGAAGCAGGGCCTGTGGGCACTGCAATGGCAAGTGCCAAGGGGATATGGGCGGGGCTGTGACCGCATTTGCTACAGAGGCCCACAGGGTCCCCTGTGGACTCAGGGGGATTGGAGCCATACCCTGGTGGGCCTGAGTGTCCTGCTCAGGTGCTCCTCGGGCCAGCAGTATTCAGTTTCCTCCCACCCAGCCTGGCAGGGTCTGGGGTCACACAGACCGCAGATGCGCTAAATCGGATTCCCATCTCTCTGGGCCCACACTTTTTAAATTTTATTTTATTTTATTTTATTTTTGAGACAGAGTCTCGCTTTGTCACCCAGACTGGAAGGACAGTGGCGCGATCTTGGCTCACTGCAATCTCCGCTTCCTGGGTTCAAGCAATTCTCCTGTCTCAGCCTCCTGAGTAGCTGGGATTATAGGTGCCTGCCACCACGCCTGGCTAATTTTTTTTTTTTTTTTTTTTTTTAGTAGAAACAGGGTTTCACCATGTTGGTCAGGCTGGTCACGAACTCTGGACCTCAAGTGGTCAACCCTCCTTGGCCTCCCAAAGTGGTGGGATTACAGGTGTGAGCCACTGCACTCAGCCTTTGGGCCCATTCTTACTGAAGCAAATGTCTCCAGATTCTCTTTTGTCTGGAACTGGGCTTAGAATGACCCACAGAGCAAGGGGATAAAAGTGGCCTCTGCCTCAGGATGTTGTGGCAAATGCATTGAAGGGGTAGAACTGGTCCCTGGGGAGAGTAAGTACTCAACAAAGGCAGCTTCTGGAATTATAAGGGAGGCGTGGGCAAGTATTCCTGCACATGCGGCCCACAGGGACCCCTGGGATAGAGCGGGGAAGCTGAGGCCACTCTGGGAACTCCACACACCTAGACCTCCTTTCATACGTATTTACTTATTTACTGTGCTGCTCCTTTCTCTCAGTGTCCAGGAATTAGTCTATCCCTGAACAATAATCTGGCTCTGGAACACGAAATCACACCATGCCCTGCTGTCTTTAAGAGGTTTATTTCTCTGCGTTTGTGGGCCTTTGTCTTTCCCTTGAGGACATCAGGATAGAGTTGAGCGGTCACAAGAACAGGTTTTAGAGTTGGGCAGGTTTGGTTCCCGCCTGGGCTCTGCTCCTTACTAGTTGTGTGACTCAGGCAGGTGACATGACTTCTGTTAGCCTCCTTTTCTTTATCTGTGTATGGAAGAATAATAAGAAGAAAAATGGGTAATGGTAATACACCTTGCTTGTGGTTGATACGGGAGGATGGGTGTGAAGTGGCCTGCAGAGCCTGCCTGGGAAAGCACATGAGGAGTGGAGGGAGTGCTTGTTACTGGGAGTGAAGGCCTGAAGTTGGTGGTGGAGACACTGGGTGGGGGATGGTGCTCAGCCTCGGTGTACCCTGGTCAGCCTGGCTCACAGCTGGTGCTGCGCTCTCCCCACCTTCAGGTTCCCTCCAGGAGAGGCAGGTATTTCTGAAGGCTTTGCAGAAGCTGAAGGCTGGAAGGTTCCATAGCTCCCGAAGAGGAGCAGAGTTGCAACCTTCCAGGCCCACCCCACTGAGCCGGGACAGCCCTCGGAGCCTGCATACACCTTCCCTTCGACCCAGTGATGTGGTCCAAGTCTCCCTGAAATTCAAGCTGCTCGACCCGCCCAACATGGGCCAGGATATATGCTTTGTCCTGCTGGCCCTCAACGTGTCCTCCCAGTTCAAGGACCTCAAAGTGAACCTGAGTGCCCAGTCTCTGCTGCACGATGGCAGCCCCCTGTCCCCATTCTGGCAGGACACAGCGTTCATCACACTCTCTCCTAAAGAAGGTACGCATGTGCACAGTTTGTGTACAGAGTCGGTTTTGGCAATGTCGGTGCGGTCAAGCCAGCCAACAGGGTTCTGGGGCAGACCCCTGAGACACTGTGATTCCTACTGTCCCCTCTGGCATGATCCCCCTCCTTCCCTCTTCTCCTTCCTCCTGCCTTCCTTCTTTCCTTCCTTCCTTCCTTCCTTCCTTCCTTCCTTCCTTCCTTCCTTCCTTCTTTCCTAGTATCTCCTCTCTGCCTCCTTTCTCTTCCTCCTCCTTTCCCACCCCAACAAAAGTAGCTGGTTTTGCAGGAAAAACCTGAGATTTTGAGTCTCTGAGACCTTGGTTGGAGCCTTAGCTCTCCCATTTCCTAGCAGAATGGCCTTGGGCAGCCATTTTGGCTCTTTCCAGCGCATTTCCTCATCTGAAAAGCTGCCACCTGCTTCCCCAGGACTTGGTACTTGTTGACTCTCTCTTCCCTGTGGAAGAGAGACCCCAGGTCCAACCCAGGTCTGGCTGATTTTCTCAGCTACTCTCACCCCATCCTTGTGTTCTTTCTCTAGCAAAGACCTACCCCTGCAAAATCTCCTATTCCCAGTACAGCCAGTACCTGTCAACAGACAAGCTGATCCGCATCAGTGCCTTGGGTGAAGAGAAAAGCAGTCCCGAGAAAATCCTGGTGAACAAGATCATCACCTTATCTTATCCGAGCATCACGATTAATGTAGGCAGGAGTCCTGCAAATGGCTTGTGGGGCCCCTTGGATCTGGTGGGGAGGGGGTGAAGCCCTGTGAGAGGGCAGCCTGGGCCTGCTTAGGAGAGCATCCTCTCCCTCCTTTGCCTCTTCTGGTGCCCCAGGAGGGAAAAGTTTGTCTGAGAGGTCTTCATCCTCTTGTACCACCCACTAGAGGCCCTATGGATGGGTCCTTGAACAGGCACCATGGACAACAGAAGAGATCCCTCTTGTGCCACTCCTGCTGTTTGCCTTCCCCATGGTTCAACATAAGGAAAATGAGCACAGATGGGAGGGTCTCTGGTTGGGGGATAGCCCTGTTTGAAAGTCAGTTCAGATTTGCCATTTTTTGGCTGTGCATCCTCAGACAAGGCCTTGGGCCTCTGCTTCTTGAACTGTCAGAGAGGGGATTAGAGTAGGTGGCCTCTGAGGACCCCTCCTGCTCTGACATTATGTGATCTTCCAAGTGGGAAGATTTCAAGGGCTCCCTTCCTTCCCGTGCTGTCTCCCCAAGGCCAACCAGCCTCCTAGACCCTGTCAAGTAAGCCCATGGAGCCCCCTCTGGTGGGGAAACATGAAGGTTTGGCTAGAACTTGGGCTTTTATGGCATGTTAGCAAAGAAGCAATATGTTTTCAGAGAAGTGACAAGAGAAAGGGAAAGGACCTTGAATCTCAAGGGGTGGCGAATTTGGGGAAGGCAAATACATGGGAAACTCATGGCAGATAAAACTTAGTTAGGAAGTCTGTTGTGTAGATTCCTCTGGTGCCCTCTCCAGGCTCATAAAGGTCTGAAGTCATCTCTGGTGATCGGCCTTTGTCCTTCTTGGTAGAGAGGGGAGGGGGGACACCTTTGTAAATTTATGTCCTGCTTTTAGGCAAATAAGGGGCAACCAGAGAGCTTTTCTTATATCTGCTTCTTCTCAATTGTCTTCAGCTCAAAGTAATTCTTATGCCAAAGTGGCATATTCGGGGATGGCGTATCCTGCCACCTTACACAACAGTGCCCTTCGTAAATGTCTGGTGAGTTGAGGAATGAGAACTAATTCTCCTTCCCCTCCTGGTCCGTTTAGGTTCTAGGAGCAGCCGTTGTGAACCAGCCACTCTCCATACAGGTGATATTTTCAAACCCCCTCTCAGAGCAGGTTGAGGACTGTGTGCTGACCGTGGAAGGAAGTGGCCTCTTCAAGAAACAGCAGAAAGTCCTGTAAGTGCTGCAAGTGCTCAGCCTTCTCTTCTGTTTTCCCCTCCGTGAGATTAGCACTATCCTTCTCCCTGGACAAGGGCTCCTGGGCCAGACTCACGACACTGGGGAAGGGAAAGCGGAAGCACTCCCTCGCACTCAGGAAGCTGGGTGGAAAAGGGCTCTGGGGTTATCATCACGCCTGTGGTTTTCTGGCATGCTGCATTCTCTGTTGCAGCCTTGGAGTCCTCAAACCCCAACATCAAGCGAGCATCATTCTGGAGACCGTCCCCTTCAAGAGTGGCCAAAGGCAGATCCAAGCTAATATGAGAAGCAACAAGTTTAAGGACATCAAGGGTTACAGGAATGTTTATGTAGACTTTGCATTATAAATTCTGGAGCAACGCGCCGGACGTGTGCCTTTCAAGCTTCAGGAAAAGGAGCAAGTTCAAATGCGAGCTGCGCCATTCCCCACCACGACAGAGGCTTCACAGGGCTCCAGCGAGAGCAGCAGAGGGGATGACGTGTTCATTGTCTGTCTCCCCTGTCTCCACTAGAAATGTAAGCTCCATGAGGGCAGCGACTTTGCTTTATTTACCTTGTACCCCTATACTCAGAACCATTTCTGGCTATGCTAGGCACTCAATAAATATTTTTTGAATGAATGAATAGGGTACTCCAGCATCCAGAGAACAGGTAGGAAATGTCTATGGATGGATATTTCCCTGGACCATTTGCACAGCTCCCCTGGACTCTTTTTAGGGCCCAGGGATTCCACTGTGTCCCGTCCAGAGATTCCAGGGATTCCACAGTCTCCTATCCAGAAGCGTGATTTGGCACAGAGGTCAGAGGATACTGGTAGGACTTGGCCATGACTTACTGCCCCCTGCCCCAGATATCCAGGAAAGAAAAAGACAGGCTGAACAGCTCACTGGCGTTGTGTTGTTGCAATAGCTAATTCCCTAGTATGAATAAACTTCAGACCTTGCTCTCCTTTGCCCCATGTAATCATCACTTTCCTATCTGTTCCCTGGATGCTGGAGTCTCCTATTCATTCATTCAAAAAAGTATTTATTGAGTGCCTAGCATATGCCAGAACTGGTTCTGAGTGTAGGGGTACAAAGTAAACAAAGCAAAGTCCCTGCCCTCATGGAGCTTAAATTTCTAGTGGAGGCAGTGGAGATAAACAACGAACACGCCAACAAATAAGTGAGATACCCACAGGTGGTGTATCAGCCATGATCCAGCTAGAAAAACCAAAAACTCACAGGTATTTCTACATACCATCTTTGTGTCTTGGGGGGAAAAAAAAAGCCTGGGAGACCTTTCACCCTTGGCCTTCCTTTGAATCCTTTCCCATATCACATCCAAGAGGTCCCTCAGTCCTAACAGTACCAGCCTATTCACTCAAAACTCACCGATGCACTGTGGTCCTGGATGGCCTTGGGTTGGCTGGGGAGATAAAGCCAGCTGAATAACACAATGAGGTAGACTTTGAGTGGGGAATGGAATACTCTCAGAGTTTTCTATTAGTTGCAGCCTGTGTTTGTGGTCACACAAACTCCACCCTTTCTGGGTCCTACTGAACACAAAACAGTTCTGAGCATTATCTCCTCTTGTGGCACTGCACAAAGTTCTACACGAAGAAGGACATGATGCACTTGCTCTCTCAGTACTGGCTACATGACTGAGACAGCTGTCCCATTAAATACACTCACAGTAAATAAAGAAGATAAAGACTTCCAGTATGTATAAACCAAAGGGTATGTGTAGTTAATCAGAGAGATAGAAGGGCATGTGGTAAGAATTAGGGAAAGAGGGGAAATAGTCCTGTGAGAGAGTGGGCTGAGAACCAGGAGCTACTGGCAGGGAACTGGAAGTAACTTAAAATTATTTCATCTTATAATTATTACCTGGCAATCATGAGAAATAGTTTAAGGAAAACACCAGGGAGAGCAACATCTTACAGACACAATGACCTCTGAAGCACATGGAAGGTTTCAGGAACTGCACCCTAGGACTCTTTAATGAGTCCTGGTTTTAACACCACATTCATGAATTCTTTCATTCAACAAAGATTTACTGAGTTTCTACTAGGGGCCAGTCCTCCATATGCTGAGCGCCAGTCCCCTGGGCCCACTTTTCTTTCTCTATACTTTGTCGCTGTGTCTCTTTCTTTTCTCAGTCTCTCGTTTCCCACCTGACGAGAAACGCCCACAGGTATGGAGGGGCTGGCCCCCTTCAGCAAAGGTTGTCTTTCGTTCATTTGTTTAACGTTTTTTGAGTTCCTAATGTGCTGAATGTTCTAGGTGTAGGGAATAGACCAATAAACAGAGCAAATAAGGTTCTCCTCAACCCATTCCCAATGGACAACCTCACAACCCCTCATCCCCCACCCCCAGTGGAACTCAGTATCATTTTCTTTCTTTCTTTCTTTCTTTTTGAGGCAGAATCTCACTCTGTCGCCCAGGCTGGAGTGCAGTGGCCCCATCTAGGCTCACTGCAAGCTCCACCTTCCGGGTTCTCACCATTCTCGTGCCTCAGCCTCCCGAGTAGCTGGGACTACAGGCGCACGCCTGGCTAATTTTTTGTATTTTTAGTAGAGATGTGGTTTCACCATGTTAGCCAGGATGGTCTCGATCTCCTGACTTCGTGATCTGCCCGCCTTGGCCTCCCAAAATGCTGGGATTACACGTGTGAGCCACTGCGCCCGGCCCTCAGTATAATTTTCTTCGGACAACATTCAGCTCAGCTCCAGGCAAAAAGGGTTTTTGAAGGAATTTCTTTTTCCTTATTGTGTGTATCCATGGTGGTTCTGCCAGTGAAGAAACCCTGCCCACCCATGGCCAAGAGGTGGGCATGTGACTTATGCTGAAACAATCAGACACTTCTCCCAGGACTTCGACTGCAGAGTGAAGTGGGTTAGAGAAGGGAGAAACCTGGAGTCCATCCGTGTCGGCAGCAAAGACCCAGAGACAGACCAGCTTCTGTTCCTGCTGCCTAGTCCCTCCGGCTGCCCTGGAGTCCATCCTTCTCCTAGTCCCGAGTCTGGTTCTCCTTTTCCCCATCAATCTAGGAGCTCCTTCATACTCTTGTTTTTTTAAGTTGATCAAAACTAGTTTTGGCTTTGCTTGCATTCAAATGACAATCATGATATAAAAGGACTTTATCTAGTTCAGAGAAATTGGGTAATTAGTTTAAGACCACACAGCAAAGTCTGTCTGATTCCAAATTCCCACCATGTCACACTGCCCAGTTCTCCCATAGGCATGTACTTGGGTCCTACAGGTGTCTTTGTTAGTGTCATACATTAGCCTGAAGTTCAAGGAAGTGTCAGAAGCTCTCATTCACCCTGACCTGGTGAATAACTGGAGAGGTGGGAGGTGGCTGTGTGGAAAGGGCAGGCAGCAGCAAGAGCCACACTTAGTTTCCCAGAGCCCGCTCCTCCTTTAGTCCCTGGCCCTCCAAGCCCCACTGTTCAGTTTTTCTTCCTCACATCTGCCCGCTGACCAGCAGCCAACCAACCAATGCACAGCTGGTACCACCTCTCTACCTGTCCCTGAGACCCGATTTTCTAGTATCCAGGAACCACTTGGTGCCAGCTTTGGGGCTGCTGCCTTTTCAGGAGTACAGACAAAAAGAATTTGATTGCAGAGCGCTGATCTCAGACATATTCAGCTTTCCTCCAACCCCAGCGGATAGGCTTGGCTTCAGACTCCACGAGAACCTGGAGCTTCCTGAGGGGCGGCAGGTCACGTGCCTGGCATAGCACGTTAGCAGAAGGTCTGAGCTGGGATGCTGAATGCATCTGTGGGAATGTGAGAAAGAACTCTGTGATCACAGATAATGTCAGGCTCTGGATAATGCTAATATCCTCCAGAGAATTTTCTTTCTGGTAGGAAGTTACGATAGTGGGAGAGTGCCATAACGGAGATTTATTTAAAACCAGGCTTCAGCCTTTTTTTTTTTTTGAGGCGGAGTTACTCTCTTGTTGCCCAGGCTGGAGTGCCATGGCACGATCTCTGGCTCACCACAACCTCTGCCTCCTGGGTTCAAGCAATTCTCCTGCCTCAGCCTCCCAAGTAGCTGGGATTACAGGCATGGGCCACCACACCTGGCTAATGTTTTTTTTTTTTTAGTAGAGACAGAGTTTCTCCATGTTGGTCAGGGTGGTCTCAAACACCCAACCTCAGGTGATCCGCCTGCCTCAGCCTCCCAAAGTACTGGGATTACAGGTGTGAGCCACCGCGCCCGGCCGACTTCGGCCTTTTATAAGGATTAGTCTATTTCCTACTTACCTCAACTCCTGGGGCATAGCCCTTCTGCGGTCCCAACAGAAAGCCTGGGGTGTTTATTGGGGCCCCTAATCCTTGATGACCCTCAAACTCAGACCCTGCTAGCCTGCCACATTCTCAGGCTCTTATCTGCCAATTACGAATGGGCAAATGCCTCAGATGGAAGAGTGGCAGCCAGTGTCAAGTTCAGTCTCTGCTCTTGTTCTCCCCAAGATCTTGATCCCTGAAGTTCTCACTGCCTTGATGCCTTCAAAGAGATATTTTAAACATTTCATTCAACTTTTCTAATTGTTCCCAATAGAGAGGGTGGTAACAAGCTAGTCTGCTGTATTTAGATACAGAAATTCTTGAGAGATTTTAAAAGAAGGCTGAATAGAGAGACCTTCTCAGCGGTGGCTTGGATCAAGGCTAATGTGAAATCAAATGTGTGGGGTATGAGTTGGAAGACCTCAGTTGGAGTCTAGGCTTTACGATAAGCTGTGAGATGTTGGGAAACCCTCCCTTCTGGAGCTTAGAGGTAAGTTTCTTGTGTGTGGAACACATAGGTAGGCTATAGTGTGCACTTTTAGCCTCGTCCTTGGCTCTGTTTGGGCACCTTCTTTGTTCTTTCATCATTTGCATCATTTTAATGTGCTCTTCCGCAATACTATATTTCATTGTTAGTCTTAAATTCTTTCTGGAATGAGGCAGTATATTAATTGATCTTACATTCCCTAAAATAAATGTTAACTCTCTGAACCTATTTTCTCATCAGTAAAATTGGAATAATGATCCCTTAATGTAGTTTACAAGACTGAGGTTCGATCGTACAAGATAATGTATGCAAAAGTGCTTTGTAAAGCAATATGCCAGCATAATTAACTTATTTGCACCTGGGAGTCATGTTGAATATCTTTTCTTCTCTGCCCTCCACCTGATATTCTGTCCATTAGCACGTCATAGCCATTTAACCTACATCTCCATCAAATCTGTCCATGTCTATCTTCTTCTTTTTTTTTTTTTTTTGTATTGAGATGGAGTCTCACTCTGTGGCCCAGGCTGGAGTGCAGTGGTGTGATCTCGGCTCACTGCAACCTCCACCTTCTAGGTTCAAGCAATTCTCCTGCCTCAGCCTCCTGAGTAGCTGGGATTACAGGAACGGGCCACCACACCCAGCTAATTTTTGTATTTTTAGTAGAGATGGGTTTTCGCTGTGTTGGCCAGGCTGGTCTTGAACTCCTGACCTCAGGTGATCTGCCTGTCTTGGCCTCCCAAAGTGCTGGGATTACAGGTGTGAGCCACCATGACCAGCCTATGTCTATCTTTACTAACACCCCCCGGAGTAGACCACCATCATCTTTCACCTGAGCCATTACTCTAGTCTCTTATTTGTCATCTCTCTTCCCTTTTTGCCCCCTCTAAATCATTTCCCCCATATTAACCAGTATTTAAAAAATGCAAATCTGATTGTGTTACTCCCTTGCTTCAAATATCATTCAATGACTTCTCACTGCTCTGAGGATAAAATCCAAAATTCTCAGCTCAACTCTGCAGGATTTAGCCCTTGCCTTACCTCTCCCCATCTCTCTCTGTGATGCAGGCCCACTGACCTGCTTTCAGTTGCTTTCTGCCTTAGAGCCTGTGCACGTGCTGTTTTCTCTCCTCTGGCGCCAACCCTTGTCCTATTACGTAGCTAACTCTTGTTTATCCTCCCAGTTTCTCAGCTTAAATATCACCTTCTAAGAGAAGCCTACCCTGACCTTCCACACCTAGGTCCGAGAGCACTCAAACTTCTCTTTTACAGCATTTAGCACACTACAGAGAAATAGCTAATGATGTATACGCTTAGTACTGTTTGTCTCCCCCTGCTGGAATAGAAGCTCCTCGGTGGCAGGGACGCGTCTATCTAATTTACTGCTGTACCTAACCCGGTTCCTAACAGTTCCCGACCGCACCTGCCGGCACGTAACACAGTTCCCGACGGCACCTGCCGGCACCTAACGCGGTTCCCGACGGCACCTGCCGGCACCTAACGCGGTTCCCGACGGCACCTGCCGGCACCTAGCGCGGTTCCCGACTGCACCTGCCGGCACCTAGCGCGGTTCCCGACTGCACCTGCCGGCACGTAACACAGTTCCCGACGGCACCTGTCGGCACCTAACGCGGTTCCCGACGGCACCTGCCGGTACCTAACACAGTTCCTGGTGCGTGACAGTGCTCTGTAAGTATTTGTTTCACAAATAAATAAACAGATCCTTCTTGAGTCCACACCCGCTAAGGGATTGTTTTTCTGCCAGAGGTTGGAGAGTAGAACGGTGTGGGTGCCGTGGGACAGACCTTTCTGGTCACCCCCTCCCTCCATCCTCCTTACATCTCCCACTCGCTTTTCCCCAGCCCAACCCAAATGCAACAGCATCTGTCTCATCATGGGCTCCTCAAAAAGTGCCCCCACTGAAATACTGCCAGAGACTGGATCTCTGTGGAGCTCGCATGGGAACTGTGCCAGGAAAGAGAAGATTCTCTTTGCTAGTACCAGAAGGAGAACACATTCCCCAAAGGGAGACCAGCCCACAACTTCCTCATTGCCCTCCCAGGTGAAGGGTTCTCTGCGGTGAAAACAGTTCTTTCAGCCAGACTTTTTTTTCCCCTGACAGTTTTTGTTACTTTAAAAATATTAACATATAAATGTATGTTCAGGGCACAAAGATACAAAGGGTATATAGAAAAAAGCCTTGTCCCTAGGCACTGAGTTTCTCTATCTAGAAGCGATAATTTTCTAGAAATAGTCTATATAAACAAAAGCAAATTCATACATATTCTCCCCGCATACACATACCCTTTACACAAAGATAGCATACTATTCACACTGTTCGTTCTCTACCTCACTTATTCCACTTAACAATACAGCCTGGGCTGGGCACGGTGGCTCATGCCTGTAATCCCAACACTTTGGGAGGCCAAGGCTGGGGGATCACTTGAGCCCCAGAGTTCAGAACCAGCCTGGGAAACATAGTGGGATCCCATCTCTACAAAAAATAAAAAATTAGCCAGACGTAGGTGGCACGTGCCTATAGTCCCAGCTACTCTGGAGGCTGAAGTGGGAGGATCACTTGAGCCCAGGAGGTTGAGGCTGCAGTGAGCCATGATAGCACTACTGCACTCCAGCCTGGGTGACAGAGCAAGACTCTGTCTCAAAACAAATGAACAAACAAATAAATCAAGCTTGGAGATTGTTCCACATCCTTTTATATAGAGTTACTTCATTCTTTTTCACCTTTATGTATTTTATTGAATGCATGTCCCATAATTTATCTACCCAATACCTTATGCATGGATGTTTAGGTAGTTTCTAGTCTTCAGCTATTATAAATATCAATGCCTTGAATATACTTGTATAAATCTTATTTTACACCTGTTTGATCATTTGTATGATAAATACCTAGAAGTAGAATGGATGAAGCAAAAGTACAGACTTTTTTTTTTTTAAGTGAGAGCAAGTTTATTAAGAAAGTAAAGGAATAAAGAATGGATAATCCATAGGCAGAGCAGCAAAAAGTATAGACATTTAAAGTTTTGGTACAAACTACTTAATTTCCCTCTGTTCTGGACTGAATTGTGTCCTCCCCAAAAATTCATATGTTGAAGCCCTAGCCCCCAATGTGACAGTATTTGGAGATGGGACCTATAGGAAGGTAATAAAGGTGAAGTGGGGTCATAAGAATGGGCTTCAGTCCAATAGGAATGATGTCCTTATAAGAAGAGGAAAAGGAAAAGACACCAGAGATCTTTCTCTTTCCGTGTGGACACAGAGAAGAGGGCGTGTGAGGAAGACAGCCTTCACCAGACACCAAGCGTAAAGGCCCTGATCTTGAACTTCCATCCTACAGAAGGGCGAGAACATAAATATCTGTTGTTTAAGCCACCCAGTCTGACTAACACTGTCCGTAGAGGCTGCACCAATTTGGAGAGGCTGTAGCAATTTATTATTTATTTATTTATATTTTTCTGAGACAAAGTCTTGCTCTGTTGTCAAAGCTGGAATGCAGTGGCATGATCTTGGTTAACTGCAACCTCCACCCACCAGGTTCAAGTGATTCTCATGTCTCAGTCTTCCGAGTAACTGAGATTACAGGTGCACACCACCATGTCTGGCTAATTATTGTATTTTTAGTAGAGACTGGGTTTCACCATGTTGGCCTGGCTGGTTTTGAACTCCTGACCTCAAGTGATTCACCCACATCCCAAAGTGCTGGGATTACAGGCATGAGCCACTGCGCCCAGCCAAGGCTGCACCAATTTAAATTTGCACTCCCACTAGTATTAGAAGAGAGTAACTATTTTCCTAAATCGTCGCCAACTCAAAATGTTGTCAGACCTTTCTACCCCACTGCCCAGATCCCCTCCCCACAGGCAACCAATATTTTTTGCCGTGTGTTTTATATCATTCTATAGACATCTCAGGTATATGCAGCAAGTACAGCTGCCCTGAGAGTGCTTCTGGTAACACAGTTTTACAAGCCCAGGTAAGGCCAAATATGAGATCCTTGTCTTGTCTTTTCAGGAACTAAAGAAGGAAAAATTGAAAAGACATAGGGCCTGAGTTCCAAGATAGTTCCCAACCTTCTCTGGTAGAGGGTCCCAGACCAGGTAGGCTTGGAAGAGTTGGGGCCCCAGCTTCTACTTTTAAGACATTTATTTTTCACCAACAAATTCTACTTCCTTATCTCTTTCACACAGATAAATTCCAGACACACGTGTTCTCTCTATTATCAAAACAGCCCATGAACATCTTGCAACTTGCAGCCCCTGTTATGTTTAGGGCCTGAGATTTGGAGTTGGATATGGGCTCCTGTTTGTGGCCTCCTGTCTTCCAGAGTCTTCCAGTGCTGTCCAGATAACATCTCTGAGAGTCTCTTGAGGCCACTGAAGCAAGAGGCTTCAAGGTTTGTTCTAGGCTTCTCCAGTTGGCAGGTCTTCCCTATCCTACCCCCTCCCTCAGGGCTGCCAGGCATATCCCTGCCTGGGCCTCCTGGCACAAGAGATAAAATGAACAGGGCTACTCCCAGCAACTGGTCCAGCAGATACCAGCAGGGAGGGAGCAGGAGAGAAGGAACATGTCAGGGTGCTCACAGGAGTAGCTGGGGGGAAGTTTTGCTCTTTCCAGATTCTTAAGCCAACAAAAGTGCCTTCATCATTTTCTGTCTGAGAGACAGAAAGCCCAGAAGGAGCCCAGAAGCAACAGTTCAACACAGGTGCTTCCTGCAGCCAAGTGGATACGAGGAGCGGCCTGCAGCCATGGGACAGGGTGAGCCACGCCAGCGCTCCGCAGGGCTTGCTGGACTGTATGCAGCCCCTGCAGCATCACCTGTTTTCATTAAAGGAAGTGGGATGGATGGTGGGCGGGGAGGTGGTGGTATAACCACGGGAGGGGAGGGGGTACTGGTGATAGTGAGCTGGCTGTGGAGCGTGGTGTGATGGTGGGTGCTGGTGGAGGTGGAGGTGATGGTGGGGTGGCTGTGGAGCGTGGTGTGATGGTGGGTGCTGGTGGAGGCGATGGTGGGATGGCTGTGGTGTGATGGTGGGTGCTGGTGGAGGCGATGGTGGGATGGCTGTGGAGTGTGGTGTGATGGTGGGTGCTGGTGGAGGCGATGGTGGGATGGCTGTGGAGCGTGGTGTGATGGTGGGTGCTGGTGGAGGCGGAAGTGATGGTGATGTTGCTATGGGGTGGTTATGGGGTAGGATGTTGGGGTAAACTGGTCATGATAGCTGTATGATGATGGTGAGATGGTGATGGTGGTTAACATGGGTGTATATTCTTATCCCAAGGTCATCATAGCATAAGTGTTCACAGCTTACTGATACAAATGAGAGACACCCTGTGATACAAATGAGAAACACCCTGGGTAGCATGAAGGTGTCACAGCTTCTACGACAAATGGGAGAGAAGGAGAGGTGGGAGTCAGGGAATCCACCTAAAAGGGGCAGCAGGCAGACACAAAGCAAGAAACCAACAGAGGTGGTCAGAGTCGCAGCGTTCTTGGCAGGAATTATTATCTCCTGGCCGGAGAATTGCCTGGCTGTTTTGTGTCCAGGGAGAAGCAAGCCGGTAGGCAGAGGGAAATGGTGCAGGGATGCAGGGACAATGGGATGCAGCTGTGGTTCTGTTTCTATAGAAACTGCCTCACTCCCCACCCTGGTCGGCCAGTCTGGCGTGCGGAGGGCAACTGACCCTGAGACCAACACCTGAGAGGGAATAAAAGAATTCTGGGTGAATTCAGTAAATCATCTCAGCCACGTCTTGTGAAAATAGGGCAGACACCAATAAATTGTCTTTTTTTTTCAGATGGAGTCTCTCTCTGTCGCCACACTAGAGTGCAGTGGCACAATCTCGGCTCACTGCAACCTCCGCCTCCGGGGTTCAAGTGATTCTCCTGCCTCAGCCTCCCGAGTAGCTGGGATTACAGGCGCCTGCCATCACGCCCGGCTAATTTTTTGTATTTTTAGTAGAGACGGGGGTTTCACTTTGTTGGCCAGGATGGTCTCGATCTCTTGACCTTGTGATCCACCCGCCTCAGCCTCCCAAAGTGCTGGGATTACAGGCGTGAGCTACTGCACCCGGCCAAATCATTCTTTTTATTCTTAGAGACCAGACAAATTAAAAACCTACTCAATTAGAGAAACATATTCAAAGATATCTGGAGATTGTTTAGTCCCAAACCAGAGGATGCCCCTGGGCACTAAATTCTTTCCAGGCAGTGGGTGGCAGAGGGCCCAGTAGCCACCAGATGAGAATCACTGAGTATGAGCTCATGGCGTGCCACAGTGGCTGCAGCTGGCTTGTGCTGACTTGCAAGAGGCAATTGCTAAATTTTGAGGAATCCTGTGAACCAGTTCTTAAACAGAGGCATTATTAAAAATTAAACTGTATAAACTTGCAAGTAAAAAAATTATATTAAAAAGAAAGATAATAAGTACTCTAAACTCATCACCTCCTACATATTTTACTCCTTTTCACCTTTATGTTCTTGAGGGTGTTCACGTCTCCTGTATCTCTGTGCTGGAAAAACCACATGATGATGTGCCAGTCCGCGCCTCTTCACAGTTCTGCGCTTGCTGACATCACCTCAGTAGCTTCAAACTGGCCACAGAGGGAGTATTTTACACCACAGAACTTGGCAAATGCTGTAACTCAGTACGCCCTTTCCCCTCACCACCCCCTCCCCCCAGCCAGTCGTTAAGCACATCACTGCTTGAGGGGCACATGTGCGGCAGCGCTGGGGTGTTGTGAAAGGCAGAGAGGGAGGAGGGTGGGGTACTGTGCACCTCTGAAGAGCATTCCACATGGTCTCCGTGTTAACGCAACTTCTCATGGTCTGTGGTACAAATAGGAGATGCTGGGAAAACACGAAGGTGTCATTGCCTCAAGACCCAGTGGGAGAGAAGGGGAGGTAGGAGTCAATGAATCCACCTAAAAGGGGCAGAGGTAGAGATAAACCAAGAAACCAGGCAGACCTAAAGAATGTAGAAACCTCAGGGGCCCTGCGAGGGTCTGGCGGCACAGGTGGGGGCCTGAGGCCCCTGTGATGCATCTGAGAAAATCTCCTTTAAGGCTGTCCTAATGTTCTCATCCATTCATTGACAGAGCAAACACTGATTGGCTATCTATTGAGTTCTGCTGGAGCAGAGGATGCAGATATGAGAAAGCACTGTGCCTCGGGGAGCTCCCCCCAGTGAAAGTGGGAGCAGAGGGCTAGGCAGGTGACAGGTATCAAATGGGATAAGTGCTGAAGAAAGTGGAGCAGAGTACTGTGGGAGCCCAGAGGACTGACTTCTTCTAGGAGGAGTCAGTGAAGGCTATAGAGGTGGGTGCCTTTGGATCTTGGAAGATGAGTAGACATCTGCCAGGTAGAGAAGAGATGGTGGGAGCCTTCCAGACAGAACCGGAATCCAAATGAATTCTGGTGACTCTTGCCATAACACATAATTACTTGGGTTCAGTTACACTGAGGCTCGAGTCATATGACTTAGGATGTGACTAAGGCATTCCACCATCCAATCCAACTCAACCAGTCTGCAGAGGCAGGGCTTTTCCTGGGCCTCAGCACAAGCTTTGTGCTAAGCAGAAAGAGGAATCATTGTTGGTTTCTGAGTGCTGCTGTACTTCAATTTACAAATCCCAGCCTCCCTGTGGCTACTTTATCTATAGCCATGGCCTGACCAAACCAAGTGGAGGAGGGGGATACAGGGATGCAAGGGGCACCCAGGGACACCAGGACCAGACACAGAGAGGTTTCTTCCCTCCTCTGCACACTTAAACATTTCTTCATATTCAACGATGTCAGTTCTTCTGCCCTAAATAGACATCATTGGCATCTTCTATCATCCCATCACTAGTGAGAGAAAAAGTAGAACATCCTTCCCCTCTACTCTTCACCTCTAAGGCAGAGAGACTGGCAAATGAGGGAAATTTGAAGTAGGGGTATCCTGAATTTGACAAGATATGTCTTGTAGTCTAAAGGACATTGCCATCAGGGTCATATCACTTCCCTGAAGTGGGTTAGACTTCATTTCATACCTGCGAGCAAAAGCCATAGTTTCTCTCTTGTGGCAGCTGAGCCAGTACAAAACACTGCAGGCTGCCTTTCAGACCAAGGAGATTCCCAATGGCCTTCTGCCATCAAAGGAACAAAAAGTGCACAATTCCTTTGCTGCAAGAAAAAAAAGCCTAACATTTTTTTTCCAGCATTGTTCCTTATCTTGGGCTTGCTGAACGTATCTTTTGACTTCTTTACTCCTTGTTTTTTTCTTCCCTCTTGTATTAGTCCATTCTCACACCGCTATAAAGACATACCTGAGATGGGGTAATTTGTGAAGAAAGTAAGTTTAACCAGCTCATGGTTCTGTGGGCTGTATAAGCTTCTGCTCCTGGGGAGGCCTCAGGAAACTTACAATCATGGCAGAAGGGGAAGCAAGCACATCTTCACATGGTCAGCGGGAGAGAGATAGAGTGAAGGAGGAGGTGCTACACACTTTTAAACAAGCAGCACTAAGGGGATGGTGCTAAACCATTAGAAACTGCCCCCATGATCCAATCACTTCCCCCCAGGCCCCTCCTCTAACACTGGGGATTACAATTCGACCTAATATTTGGGCTGCGACGCAAAGCCAAACCATATCACCTCTGTTAAATGAGAATTGATTAACAGACTGTCATAATGCTCTTGAACCACCTACGTGAAGGGTTTTTCTGGGCTGCATAGTGCTGTGAGTTTATAGTAAGACTTTAGGTCAAAAAGCCACCATGCACAGTCTCGGGTGAGTCAGTTCCACACTCAGCCTCACTCTTCTCATCTATAAAACAAGAGAATTGGACTCAGTGATCTCAAAACCAGCTCTAAAAATTAACTGATTGTGCTCTAAGAAAAAATGAGTAGGGGTGAGAAAGATTTTGGGTTTTATTCATTGCTTGTGGATTGGGACCAGAAAAAAGAGGCCAACAATGAGAATAAGCATTACATTTATTAATAATAGTAACAACAACAGCAGTTTCATTTATTGGGACTTACTGTGTAGCCGACACTGTGCTAAATGTATTATATATCATCTAATCCCCACAACTATGAAAGGAGGGATGATTATTCTAAGGAAAAGGAAACTGAGGGTCAGGGTAGTTAAGTTACTTGCCTGGGATTGCGCAGCTAAAACCTAAGTGGAGCCGAGGATTTGAACCCTGGTCTCTCTGACTCCAGAATCTCTGCTTGTACTTATATTGTCACATTTACTTAGTTTCCATGACTTCTCTCTTTCCCACAACAGCCCTGGGTATCAAGAGCTGCGACTTTCAGGCAGCAAGAAACAATGAGGAGCACCACACCAAGGCCTTCAGCTCCCGGCGCCTCTTTGTGAGGAGGGGGCAGCCCTTCACCATCATCCTGCACTTCCGTGCTCCAGTCCACGCATTTCTGCCTGCCCTGAAGAAGGTGGCCCTCATTGCACAAACTGGTTAGTGAGACAGGACTAGACTCCGGGCAGCAGGTCTGGGGGTTTCTCTCCAGCAACCTGTTAGGGAATCAAGGGGCAAATGGACCACACTGCAGCTGGGCTGTAAGAAGTCCTGCCCACCTGGCAGGGCAGTCATGAGGGTGCCATGAGATTATGTGCCTGGTAAATATTGTTTATGATGAGTCAGAAGCTGCCTAGCAGCAGCATCACCAAGGGCTTCTTTTCGGTTGCAAATATAATAGTAGCTTTGTAGAAAATTCTGGATGGGGCCGGGTGCAGTGGTTCACACCTGTAATCCCAGCACTTTGGGAGGCTGAGGTGGGTGGATCACCTGAGGTCAGGAGTTCAAGACCAGCCTGACCAACATGGTGAAGCCCCGTTTCTACTAAAAATACAAAACATTAGCCAGGCGTGGTGGCCGGTGCCTGTAATCCCAGCTATTCGGGAGGCTGAGGCAGGAGAATCACTTGTACCCAGGAGGTGGAGGTTGCAATGAGCCGAGATAGTGCCACTGCACTCCAGCCTGGGCGACAAGAGCAAAACTCTGTCTCAAGAAAAAAAAAAAAAAGAAAGAAAATTCTGGATGGAATCGAACCCAGGCTAAATATAACATTTAATTTGCAGTGTTTATTGAATCCATACTACGTGTCAGGTGTTGGGCCAAGTACTTCACACATAATAGTTCGTTCAGTTCTCCTATGGGCCATGAAGCAGGTACTATGAAGATGCCCATTTTAGAGACTATGATGTAGGTCCGTGGGTGCCAAAAACCTGTGCTCTCCTATCACTCTTTCTTGATGGGTCTCATTTCTAGATGGGTCACTTTCATTATCCTCCAAAAACAACTTTCACCTCCTCCATCTTTGTAATACCCTGACCTTATTACTCTGAGTTGTGACCAAGAAGTCCCAATGACGGACTCGTCACTGTGTGACTGCAGGAGAGCAGCCTTCCAAGGTCAACAGGACCCAAGCCACATTCCCAGTGTCCAGTCTGGGGGACCGAAAGTCATGGAGTGCAGCGGTGGAGGAGAGAGATGCGCAGTCCTGGACCATCTCTGTGACCACACCCGCGGATGCTGTCATTGGCCGCTACTCGCTTCTGCTGCAGGTCTCAGGCAGGAAGCCACGCCTCTTAGGCCGGTTCACATTGCTCTTTAACCCCTGGAGTAGAGGTAAGTTTGGACCTGGGCCAGCCTGGGCTGCACGGGGACTCCAGACACTGGAGCTGGGGTGCAGTTCTGGCAGGGAGCACCTGGGCCAGGTATCTGCAGCAGCCCTCTCTAAGGACAGCACCAACACCTAGTCTGGGCCAGGGCCTTCTACCTGGATGAAGCAGCTCTCAGACCAAGGGTCCCGTTTTGGTGTCGCTCCTGGGAGAAGCAAGTTGAGGCTTCCCACTGAAAGCGAAAACTTGTCTCATCACCAGACCCTGGTGCTGGCTCAGGCTATTTTGGTCACAGGAGTTGAGACTGTGATGACCCTGGGAAAGCTGCCCTTCACTATAACAGTGCAGGGGTGAGAACTGGAGAGGGCCTCGGGAATGAGGTGGCCTGAAGATGGGCTTCTCTCTCTCTCCCCGCTATTCTGTCTCCATAGTGCACTCAGGCTTTGTGGGACCTGAAGCTAATGCAATTTGGGGGACCCTCTTTAAGAAAAAGAATGTACCATTTTGAATTGATAAGGCTGCCCCGCCGACCAGGGCCCTAAGCGGTCTGTGTTATCCCACAAGCTCCTGCTTCTGCCTCCCAGGAAATGTACTGCTCCCTGTCTTTCCTCCTCTCTTCTGTCTTGTTCTGTTCTTGAAGATTTCTGGGCGTTCACCAGACCCACCTACCCAAGTGTCTGATGGGGCCCTACCATTCACCAGCCTGTGAGCGGCTTCCTTGGGGTCAGGTGACCTCCTGTGGGCCCCCCACCCCCAACCATGACCGCCTCTAGCAAAGCTCAGCCCTAGCTGTGGCTGGAGCTATGTCGTCTGGAAATGGCCATCTGATATAATACATGTCCAAATAAGACCCAAAGTAGGACCCATCTTCTCTTCCTCCCCACTCTGAAGATTGTATCTGTCTTTGTATTTAAATCTACCTCACCCACCTTCATCCTTGGGATCCCTGAAGGGTTTGTTGGGAGAATGAAAAAGAGTTTCTCCCGGCCTTCCTGTCTTTACAACATCAAACAAATACACAGCCCTTTTCCTCTCAAGAATTTTGCTGCCAACATGGCAAGGCAGGGCTGGGAAACTGGCAGAAACATGGGGAGATGGAAGAGCCTTCCCAGGTTCTTAAGGCTGGCCCCATGTCTGGCCCGCAGCTCCTGACTGCTTTTCTCTGTGGTACCTAAATCCCAGTGGGTTCTCTCTCCACTTCTCCTGTCCAGGGCAGGGTTCTCCCCCACTTCAGGTGGCCGCACCTGCCCTCAGCTCAGGCCCTTCTTTCCTGCTCCAAGGGCGCAGGCAGGTGGGTCAGCAGATGGGGGCTAGTATTCATCCAGATGCTCCACGTGGATGAATGTAGATGCAGGACCCCTTGGTTGGGGCAGGCCTTGTGGCTCTCCATGACTGGCAGAAAGCCCTTCAAGCCGCTTCCCTCCAAAGCTGAGGCTTTGGTGTACCCCCAGATCACCCTGAGTCTGCTTCCAGAGACAGGCCCTGGCAACAACCGTAAAAACCTGGCAAAGACAGTTCTAGGACAGTGCTTGGCTCAGGGCGCCCACACTCTTAACTCCAGTGCCAGGAGTCCTGCCTTTGTGCTCAGTTTGTAGGGACCTGCCTAGGGAGGGCCTCTCTACCTGAGTATGGGCAGAGGTCTCTGTCTGGGCAGGGGACAGTCATTGGCTCCGCTCATCCGGGAGGTGACTGGGAAATTTTCAGATTCCCTGGCATCTCAGCGTCATCTTGGCATGCTTGGAGATGGGGATTCAAAAGGAGATTTTACATCGTTTTACATCCTATGATAAAAGTTGGAGCCCTGCTCATCGGCCAGGCACTTTATAAAGGGGGCTGCATACGGCCAAGCAGAGAGGAGGAGGCTGGCGCTGCCCGTGCTCTCATAAGCTACTTCATGGAGCCCTGCAGATCCTGGGGCCAAACACCTCAGTTTGAAGTAATGTCAAAAAAAAAACAAAAAACAAAAAACAGTGATGCCTAGCTGACTTCAGAGAGTACTCAGGATGGAAGGCAGGAGTGGAGGGCTACTTGGGCATAGGGTTCTGTGATTTTAGACCCCAGATTTTTCAGGGCTTCTTGATTTCTGTTGCCTTATCCTTCTGTTGCCCTGAGGACCCTCATCCCCAGATGGACCCCTGGAGGGCTCCAGAGAGGTTAGCCCAGCAGCTCCTCTGGATGGTTTGGAAATCCTTTTCTCTCTCTAGTCCCCAGGAACTAGTCTAACCCCTGTCCACTTCACCTCGGCCATTGGGTCAGAGTGATTAGCCCTCAGCAAGCAGGGCAGTTGCCCTCCTGCTTCTAGCTTCCCAGAGTGGGTGATGGCCCCCTTAAAAGTCACCCACCCTCCTCATGATGGCCAGCCCAACCCTAGGATGAGGAAAGCAGGAGGGGCACTGGGAAGAGACTGAGGGAGCCCTAGACTCACCTGGACACCTCCAGGGCAGAAATCCAACTTCTGACTTCCACTTCTCAACCCCACTGCTCCTTCCCACCCTCCAACCCTGTCTTGCCAAGCGCTCCTCTTCCTTCTGCTCACATCCATCAGCCTATGCTTAATTGTCTTTTTTCTGAAACACCTGGTTTTTCGTCACAAATTGAACTTATGGGAAAGACATACAAGCCACTTGGAAGCTCCCTGGCCTGTTGCCAATTTATCCAGGGACGATAGTGTTCTGGCTGTGAACAACTAGGATTTTCTTTTTCTTTTCTTTTTTTTTTTTTTTTTTTTGAGATGGAGTTTTGCTCTTGTTGCCCAGGCTGGAGTGCAATGGCATAATCTCAGCTCACGGCAACCTCCGCCTCCCGGGTTCAAGAGATTCTCCTGCCTCAGCCTCCCGAGTAGCTGGGATTACAGGCGTGCACTATGACACCCGGCTCAGTTTTTGTATTTTTAGTAGAGACAGGGTTTCACCATGTTGGTCAGGCTGGTCTTGAACTCCTGACCTCAGGTGATCCACCTGCCTCAGCCTCCCAAAGTGCTGGGATTAGAGGCGTGAGCCACCGCGCTTGGCTGATTTTCACTGGTTTTAAGAGAAAGTCTCTCACTCTGTCACCCAGGCTGGAGTGCAGTGGCACCATCATAGCTCACTGCAACCTCAAACTCCTGGGCTCAAGTTTCCTCCCGCCTCAGCCTCCTAAATAGCTACGACTACAAATGCGCACCACCACACCTGGCTGTTTTTATTTTTTGTAGAGACAGGGTCTTGCTGTGTTGCCCAGGCTGGTCTCAAACTCCTGGTCTCAAACTGTCCTCCTGCTTTGGCCTCCCAAAGGGCTGGGATTATAGCTGTGAGCCACTGCACCTGGCCAACCAAGCTTTTTAAGGTTGTTCTTGTCTTCCTGGCTGACCATAAGGGCCACACGCTGATTGACCCAGGGACTCTGGGCTGGGCCCCAGTGGGGGCAGTGAAAGAGGGACTTCCTCCTCAGTCTTCATTAGGCCCAGAGCTGACGGGGTGGCCTGCAGCCAAGCCTAATCTCAGCAGGGAGGACAGAGGCCTGGATGTGGAGGGTGGACCTGGCACCCCACAGGCCCTCATCCCTACCCACCTCTCGCCAGAGGATGCCGTGTTCCTGAAGAATGAGGCTCAGCGCACAGAGTACTTGTTGAACCAGAATGGTCTCATCTACCTGGGCACAGCTGACTGCATCCAGGCAGAGCCCTGGGACTTTGGCCAGGTACTAGGGCCCTCTAGGGGAGGAGTGTGTAGAGTGACTGTCCCATAACCTTGCATGTTCAGGCTAGACAGAGCTGGTAGGTCCAAAAACCGCTGGTCATGAGACCATTTATTTAGTCCGTTTCAGCCTTGTGGTGCCCCGCCCCCCTTCCTCTGGGCCACATCAGAACATCCTCTGGAGCTACCAGAATTCTTTTCCTTAAAGCTGTGGCAAATCAAGCCTCAGTTACAGCTCCACTGTCTTTGAGATAAAGACCAAATCCCTCTAGGCCAACATCCACGGCCCTTCCAGCCAGGCCCCTGCTCTGCTTTTCCCATGAACCACCCCATGTTCCAACTGCTCACCATCCTCAGAGCAACAAGCTGAATGTTCCCTCCGCCAGGAAGGGCTCCCCACCCTTATCTCCTGGCAAGCTCCCACCCATCTCTCAAGACCTTCTCGAAGCCTCCCCCAACCCCTGAAGGCAGAGGGAACCTCTCCACGGGGCTGCTCTGTGCCTGCATCTCTACAAGAGCCCTGGCCATGCTGCTGTGCTCTGTAATCTAAGGGGCTGCGCTGTGGGTCCATCTCCAGTCCTAAACCGTGGGCTCCTCAGGAACAGGGGGAGTATCCTCCACTCCAGGTTCAGGGCTGGTAGGGGCAGTCGGGGTTCACTAAATGGAAACGGAATGCAATGCAACAAAACGAAATGGTACAGCACGGGTCCCTGAGAGCTCATACCCTACCAGGAGTCAGACAGTAGAATAGGCAAAGGACTAGATGCCTGGGAAAAGGAACCTGGGTCACATTGAGAGGTGGGGGGAGGGAGCCAGAGCTCCTCAGAGGGATAAAGTAAGGGAGGCAGGTGTGGAGTGCGGGTCTGGGAGAAGGACGAGATAATGAGGCTGTCCTGCGGGATGAGTGCCTGACCTGAGGACCCTTCATCATGGCCCTGTGTGGTCCTTAACAGTTCGAGGGGAATGTCATCGACCTCAGCCTACACTTGCTGAGCAAGGACAAGCAGGTAGAGAAGTGGAGCCAGCCAGTGCACGTGGCCCGTGTGTTGGGTGCCTTGGTAAGTGAGAGGCTGGGGAACGACAATAGGGCGGGGGTGAGACAAGAGCTCTCTGAGAGACCTGCCCCACCACCGTGGCCTCAGAAACCCCCAAATCACAAATGGCTCCCTCCTCCCAGGGTGTGAGGACAGTTCCTACAGAAGGGTCTGAGGAGGAGAAGAAGACAGGCAATAGCATCCACAGGGGGGAGAAAAGCAAAGAAATGTGTCCTCCCTCAGGACGCAAGCCCGCAGAAGACTAAGCCTCCTTTCCTGCCCCACACCCAGTCCCAGCCTAGAGCTTAGGTCCATGGGAAGGAGCCGGTAGGGCCCATCTTACCCAGTGCTTGCTGCTGCAGTGATCAAAGGGACTTCTTTTACATTTCTAAATTGTTCAGAAGAATATGCAGACCATGATGGTAACTTGGTGCTTTCCCTTGTCCCTAAAAATCCTCTCAGAGGAGTCCTGTGTTCACCATTCCCTCTTTGCCACCGAAGTCCCCTCTGAAAAGGTGGTGAGGGTCCAGGCCAGTCTGTGAGTTGAAAGAAGCTTGGGATAAGTGGCCTCCAGGACCCAGGTGCAAACCACCTCAAACGAGGGTGTAGGACTAAAGGTGAAACCAGCCCCCAGCCAGAGGACTTGTTAAGAAGGGGGGGTCCTGGGCTCCAGCCCTAGGGCTATGGCTCAGGGGCCTAGGATGGAGCCCAGGAGCATGCAGGTTTAACCAGTACCAGGTGGCTCTGATGCTGGGGATCTGTTCACCACGGTTGGAGTACTGCGATGAGCCCTCCTTACCCATGCCCTGGAAGCTGTCCTGCCCGAGGGACTCACACTGACATCCACACATTTCCCCAAACAGCTGCATTATCTCAAGGAGAAGAGGGTCCTGCCCACCCCGCAGACCCAGACCACCCAGGAAGGGGCCTTGCTGAACAAGCGCCGGGGCAGCGTGCCCATCCTGCGGCAGTGGCTCACCGGCCGAGGCCGACCTGTGTATGATGGCCAGGCCTGGGTGTTGGCTGCTGTTGCTTGCACAGGTTGGTCCCCTTGTCTCCTGTACAGAGTGCCCTGCCTCTTGGGTTGTTCCCTGGCCTCCCATGTGGGAGGGACATCTCCAAAAGCAGGTGCTGCCTCCCTGCAGCCACGTTTCCCCGTCCCACCACACAGAAGTAGTTGCCCCAGGCAGCTCCTCCCACCAGCTTCCGCTGCTTTTCCCCTCAGGAAAGTTGGGCTCATTTGCAAACTCCGTTCCCAAATTCACTTAATTCCCTAACCCTGCCCCAGCAGAGCAGCTCCACCCACTGTGTTCTATGCTCCGTTGCCCTCTCCCCTGCTATATACCCCGCGTGTGGTGGAAGCTGTGCCTTACTGATCAGCCTTCATGCATCTGTTCTTGGCTGCCACTTCTAGGTTCCACACTCCTCTTCTTTCCAGGTTTTCAGTGCCCAGAGGAGACACTGAAAATCCTAGCCTCCCACACGCCCCCAGCCCGGTCTCTAGAGCGCCCCCTGACACTCCACCCCTCTTCTCACAGTGCTGCGATGCCTGGGAATCCCTGCCCGTGTGGTGACCACGTTTGCCTCAGCACAGGGCACCGGCGGGCGTCTGCTCGTAGATGAGTACTATAATGAGGAAGGACTTCAGAACGGAGAAGGCCAGAGAGGCAGAATCTGGTGAGAAGCCTGAGGGGGATGAGGTTCCAGTCCAGGAAGGGCTCCAACCCTGCATGGCACACCTCTGCAGGAACCCCACCCCCTGCGTGGCCCTGGCATGCAGAGTAGGCTTTCAAGGACTCTTAGAGGCTGTGCTGATGGTCAGCGGTGGTGTGCACACCCCTTCCTGGGAGTGCCACAGCCACTTTGACACAGTGACCTCCCATCCCACTGGAACAACAACAACTCTGCCAGGCTGCGTTTCCAGAACCTCTTCAGCACTCCTTTTCCTTCCCACTTGCATTTTTCTCTTTGCTACATTCAGGATCTTCCAGACTTCCACAGAGTGCTGGATGACACGGCCTGCCTTGCCCCAGGGTTATGATGGATGGCAGATTCTGCACTCAAGTGCTCCTAATAGAGGTGGAGGTAAAGCCTAGGGGTGGGTCCAGGACCACGCAGGGCTGCACAGAGCTGAAGAAATCCCCCGGAGAGGACTCGGGAGCAGCAGGCAGTCCCAAAGGGGTCTGCATCCTCGAAAACAGTAGAAGCACAAGGCATGACAGCAGCCAGCAGAAAGCTGACCTGATGCCAGTGGGCTCATGGGAATAGAGCTGCCTGCCATCCTGGCTACAAGGCTGTAGGGAGACGAGGCACTTTAGAGCCACGGGTGAGGGAGTTGGGTCACAGTGAAGGGCAGAGGATCTTAAGATGGCAAGCGACTGTGCTAGGCCAGGGGCTTGCAGCAGGGGGGTTCTGAAGTTCTGGACATGGATGAAGAGGGTATCTGGATAGGCTCAAGCCCAGGAAGCTTCAGAACCCACAGAAAGATAGCTCTTCCTCACCCAGGAACAGAAATGGCACAGAACCTGACACCTATTAAGTGCTCAAGAAAGGTGGCCCTATTCCTGTCATATCCATAGTAAAGCTGGCTTGAGAGCTCCTCACTCTAAGTGTGGCCCTCTGAGCTTCTGCCTGTCCAGTTCCTGAGAGGGCTTCTGCCAGGGGCCATGATCAAAAAGTTTTATCACTAAATAGTTGATCACTAAATAGTTTCACCTCTGTGACTCTCTCAGAAACCCTGCCTAGTGCTCACCTCTGACGCTGGTCCTTGGGGAAGGAAAATAGGCTAGAGGATGGGGACTGAGGTTATGCAGTTCTGAACTGAGCAGAGGTCTAGGCATGGCTCCCATGCTCACCAACCTTTCTCTCCCTCAGTCCTGGGGTTCTGTGATCTGGTGCCGGTCAGAGCAGTCAAGGAGGGGACGCTGAGGCTGACCCCAGCAGTGTCAGACCTTTTTGCTGCCATAAATGCCTCATGTGTGGTCTGGAAGTGCTGTGAGGATGGGAAACTGGAGTTGACTGACTCCAACACAAAGTACGTTGGCAACAACATCAGCACCAAGGGTGTGGGCAGTGACCGCTGTGAGGACATCACTCAGAACTACAAGTATCCTGAAGGTACAGGCCAGGGAAGGGCCCAGGCTTCTCGGTACCTGAAATAGCAAGCGAGGGAAAGGGATGGGCCTGGCAGATGCAGTCAGAAAGAGCCTTGTCCTTTCCCCATCATATAAAACAGGGTTTCTCAACCCCATTTGACACCATTGATATTTGGGCCCAGATATGTCTTTGTTGTAGGGACTGTGCACCCTAGGACATTTGGCGGCATTCTTGACCCTCAGAGGAAGTCTAAATTCTTTCACACAGGAAGATTCAGTTCCCTGCAAAACTGTCCTCAGAGACAGTGTTGACTTGTCCCCAACCTTCCTCTCTCATCGTTCAAGGGGCGAATTCATAGCACTTGAAAAAGAACTTGGTCCTTGAGTGGTTTGGAAGAGACACACTGTATCGGTGGTGGATCTGCCTGACACAGACATTTTTGGGCTAAATACGGCCTTAGAGGCTTGCAGAGCTCTCATGACTTTGGCATTTGAGCAGAAGTGGGTAAATGGTTTTGATTCCCAGGGTTTTATGAGAAGCGTGTATACCACCCGGGTAAAAGGTCAGCTTTGTTTCTTCCCTTCTCCAGGGTCTCTTCAGGAAAAAGAGGTGCTGGAGAGAGTTGAGAAAGAGAAAATGGAACATGGGAAAGACAACGGCATCCGTCCTCCCACTCTCCAGATTGCCAATCCTCTGTACCTGCTCTTGAAAGCACCCAGCTCCCTACCCCTGAGAGGGGATACCCAGATCTCAGTGACGCTGGTTAACCACAGTGAGCAGGAGACGGCAGTGCTGCTGGCAGTCGGGGTCCAGGCTGTGCACTACAACGGTGTCCTTGCTGCCGAGCTCTGGAGGAAGAAGCTGCACCTCACGCTCAGTGCCAACCTGGGTAATGCTCTATGGCCCCACCAGACACCCCCCACACACACACAGCCCCTGCCTTGGGCAGGCAGCAGCCACAGGGCACCCCCTGCAGTCTCTAGACATGGCTTTGAGCCCCTGCTGCTCACTCTCGTGTTCTCTCTCATTCACTCATTCAACACATATTTATTGGACCCAAAGCAGGAAAAAAACATGATGCCAACTGCAGTCAGATAAGTAAACAGGCCCTTCGCAGCAGTGTGAGAAGTGTTTGCTGAGTTTAACAGAGTGGAATGGCAGGAGAGCACCTCCCCCCAGGCTGGAGTAAGCTGCCCCCAAATAAATTGTACTGCATTGAATCTGGAAGGATGAGTAGGAGAGTAATGGCCAGAAAAGTAAGTCACGGCATTCCAGACGGAAGGAGTAACATGTGCCAAGGGCTCTGCTCATCTCTGAGGTTCTTATTTACTTGGTCTGAGATGGGGTCCAGGCATTGTTTTTTTCTTGTTTTTTGTTTTAAACACCCTGTGTTATTCTATGGTTAAGATTCCCTGAACTAGAACAATTGCTTTTAAATTTTGCCGCACATTAGAATCACCTGGGGAAGTTTGACGCTCAGCCTGTATCTCAGGCCAATTAAATCACAAATTCCATGGTGGGCTGGACGCAGTGGTTCATGCCTGTAATCCCAGCACTTTGGGAGGCCAAGGCGGGTGGATCACCTGAGGTCAGGAGTTCAAGACCAGCCTGGGCAACATGGTGAAACCCCAACTCTACTAAAAATACAAAAATTAGCCGGGCTTGGTGTCACACACCTGTAATCCCAGCTACTGGGGAGACTGAGGCAGGAGACTCGAGGAGGTGGAGGTTGCAGTGAGCCAAGCTCATGCTACTATACTCCAGCCTGGGTGACACAGTGACACTCCATCTCAAAAAGGAAAAAAAAAAAAAAAAAAGAAAGAAACTCCATGGTGGAACACATCAGAATTTTAAAAAACTCGAGTAACTCCAATGTGCAGACAAGTGTGAGAATCAGTTGACAAGAGCTTGTCTACAGCATTGCAACAGCCTTGTAACCGGTCACCTCACCTCCAGTCTCTGTATCACTCTTCCCTTTCCAAGCATGGGAGGAGAGGAGTTGGGGGAGTGGCGTGAGAGCTGGACAGGGCCCAGGTGACACAGCGTCTTGTCTCTCTTGCTAAGGACTTTGAGTTTTGTTCTCTGGGTAATGGAAAACTGGTGGAAGGTTTCAACCAGGGTAGTCAATGGAATCAGAAATTCATTTTAACCAGAAAGAACTTTTGGCAGAATGGAATGGAAAGGGTCATATAAGAAAAGTGCTTCTTAACCTTAGCTGCACATTGTGTCATCTGGGGAACTTATTTTGTGGGCGGGGGAGGGGGCAGCCATCTGAGCCAGAGTAGGCTCAGAGTCTCTGATCATCTGGAAACTTTCAAAACTGTTCATGTCTTGGCCTCACCGCCAGAGTCTGATGTAACTGATTGGGGTGGGCCTGGCATCGGGGTTGTTTTGTAAAGCTCCCCACTTGATTCTAATGTGCATCCAGAGTCTTGAGAAGCACGGGATTGAAGATGAGAAGGTTTTGTAATCATCAAGTCAAGAAATGAAGGCCAAACTAAGCTAGCAGCACTTCGAGTTAAAGTGTATTATGGAGTTGGGATAGATGGGGCTTATGAATGTGTGAGTGTGTATATGTGTGTGATGGGTGCTTCTGGTTTGGGTGAGTCAGTAGAATAGGAAAAATGGGGAAGAGCAGGTTTGGGGAGAAAAAGGATGAATTTGGTTGCGGCACATTGTATCTGAAAGCCCGGGACACGTGCACGTGCAGCTGACCAGTGGGCAGCAGGAAACCTTGGTAAGATAAAGTTCTGGGCTGGAGCGCAGATGTGGAAATCCCAGCACAGGGGGGCCACCAAAGAGTCAGGGCATAGATGAGCTCACAGCAATGGGGAGAGGACAGTGAGATGAGAAGGTGAGGAGGGAACCCGGCAGCAGCAGCAGCATTTAGGGGGCGGTCAGGGGAAGAGCAGGGTAAGGGAGGCCAAACAGTCAAAGAGAGAAAGGAGGCACCCAGCAAGATCAGCAGAAAGGGCACGAGGTGTCAAGGCTGAAGAGCACTATTAAGAGAGTGCGCTTGCTCAGAAGCTTCCTGGGTGTTAAGCCGATTGAGTTGGGAAAGTGAGACAAACCGTCTCGTCCTCCTTGGAGGCATGACAGAAAAAGGAGAGGCTGCGGAGTGGTCAGCCAGGGACACCGGACAGAAGGAGAGAGCTGAACCCGCTTCTATGCTGAGGAAAATAAGCAGGCAAGAGGGAAAGAACGAGCCTCAGGAGAGACGGGTTAAAATTGATAACGCTATGCTTGGGGATATGAGACAACTAGAATCACTGCAGCTCACATTTATCAGGCATTTACTGTTTGCCCAAAATGATGTCAAGTGCTTTATGTGCATCATCTTGTTAGGCCTCACCACAACGTTCTGAGGCAAGAACCATCGCTATCCCCACTTCACAGATGAGGAGATGAGACACAGAGAGGCTCAATAATTTGCTCAGATTACACAGCTAGTGTGATGGGGTCAGGAGGGGGCACAGATTTAGAAAGCAGAGGATTCACTTGGGCAGGGGGGATACCTCATCCCCTGAGCAGTGGTGACAGTAGGAGTCGATATTTCTTCTGTAGGGTGACAGAGCAAGACCCTGTCTCTAACACAAAACAAAACAAAAACCCTACAAACACCACAAACCATCCCACTAGGAAGGCATTATTAGACAAGGACACTGAGGCTCAAAGAGCTTAACTTGTTCCAGTTCACAGGGACCCCTCCCCAACCCCACTGAGCTGGTCTGCCAAGAGCGTTGTTGAGGGTGGTGATGGGGATGAGGGTGAGAAGTGAGTTCCAAGTGTATAATTGTTGGGGAAAATGGGGCATCTTTCTGGTCTCAGTGAGGCCCTGGGTCCTTTGCATTGTGTGTATAACTATGGCTGTTTCTGGGGTACACACACCTGTTGGCACTGACTCCACCTGTCATGTGTTTCAGAAAAGACAATAACCATTGGCCTGTTCTTCTCCAATTTTGAGCGAAACCCACCCGAGAACACCTTCCTTAGACTCACCGCCATGGCAACACACTCTCAGTCCAGCCTTAGCTGCTTTGCTCAGGAAGACATTGCCATTTGTAGACCGCATCTTGCCATCAAGGTAGGCACCAGTCCTCCCCTGATTTGCCCTCATCTGCCACCACTCAGGTCCCCATTTCAGAAGGAATCCAAGCCCCTTCAGAGCAGATGACTGTGCTGCAGGATTACCAGAAAATGCTACATTTAAGAGCTCCTTCCCTTGAAAGACATAGTTTCTTACATACCCTATTAAGGTGTAAATCTTCCAACTTCTTTAGTTAGTTAAGTAAAGGTTTCTAAAATTGGGGCCTTCCCAGTTGCTGCCTCCTACCTACAGGGATCATAATAGCCTTTGTTTCTTTAGCACTCCATACACATGCCACAGGGTTTTCACCTCCTCTCTCTCTCTCTCTCTTCTTTCTTTCTCTCTCTTTCCCTTTCTTTCTTTCTTTCTTTCTTTCTTTCTTTCTTTCTTTCTTTCTTAGCACAACAATATATAACTTAACAACAACAACAACAACAACAACAACAACAACAACAACAACAACAACAACAACAATACAACAACATAACAACAACGCTCTCTCTCTCTCTCTCTTCTTGCTGTACTTTCTTTATAACAATCTTTCTCCCTGTGAAGGGTAAAACTGTTCCCATTATTCTTTCTTTCTTTCTTTCTTTCTTTCTTTCTTTCTTTCTTTCTTTCTTTCTTTCTTTCCTTCTTTCTTTCTCTTTCTTTCTTTCTCTCTCTCTCTCTCTCTCTCTCTCTTCTTTTCTTTTCTTCTCTTTTCTTTCTTTCTTTCCCCTGTGAGGTAAAACTGTTCCCATTATTCAGATGAAAAAAACTGAGCCCTAGAGAGCAACATGCCCAAGATTATAAAAACAGGACGTTCTAGAGGCTTGTGGCTCTTGGTCCAGCCCTCTTTCCATGTGTCTACCCTGGCCAAAATGAATGAGATCTGATCCCTGCCCTCTAGCAGGTTATAGTTTAGTTAGGGAGACACAACATTTGGTCTTCCAGGTAAGTGCTTTAATAGATGCACAAAGTTGCTATGGAATAAGTGAAGCAAAGGGGATTAATTCCAGCTGATGGGTTCAGGGATGACATTATGAAAGAGATGACATCTATGCTGGGCCTTGAAAAATGGGTACCCTTTCAGTACAGAGGTAGGGGAAGGCCACTGAAGACAGAAGAAGACAACAAAGAGGTGCAATGGAAGGTAGCCTGAGGGGTGTGCTGGGGATGGGACAGCCCCTGACAGGGCTGGGATGTCACTTAGTCATGGGAAGAACAGGTGAGGTGGGAGAGGGGGTTGGGGGCACACCGTGAAGAATGTTGAATACAATGTAAACTGAATTCCGAAGATGGTGGGAAACCCTCCAAGGGGTCTGCCTAGAGGAGAGGCAACGTCAGAAATCATCAGTGATGGACCAAGGGTGGGAATAAACGCAGGAGGAGCAGGTAAAGCGGTAGAAAACGTCAGCTGTGAAGCTTTGGTCAGCTTGGCAGAGATGAGGAAACTTACTGATGAGGGTACAGAGGTGCATGGGAGGAGAGAGTGACTACGGCTGTGCCCTTGGCATCCACACCAGGTATTGCCTCTTCCCACAGATGCCAGAGAAAGCAGAGCAGTATCAACCCCTCACAGCCTCAGTCAGCATCCAGAACTCCCTAGATGCCCCCATGGAGGACTGTGTGATCTCCATCCTGGGAAGGGGGCTCATTCACAGAGAGAGGACGTACAGGTAAGCAAAGACAGGCTTCTAATCCTCCTGAAATGTCTCAATGAGTCAGAAAGGTGGGGCCCAAGAGAGAGACTCTCTTTGCCATGTCCATGCAGACAGCAGATACCCCCGGAAACTGAACTAAAGGATTAGGGCTACCAAGTGGCTTCCCTCATCTTGGGACCACCATATCTGCAAGAGGATGGGAGTGAGGCAGGCTGTGTGGGCCCCTTGGGCACCCACCTGCCCTGGTTGCTGCCCTGATCCTGCAGGGAGAGCCTGGGTGTTGCTGTGAATGTAGGCGAGGGCATTAGGGCTAGATATTGGAGAGTAATGAAGGGAGGCCAGGCTATCTCTCATTGTGGTCAGAGGGCTATGTTCTGGTAGTCACCGCCACAATACACAATTTTCTTTAATTTATTCCCTTTTATTCCCATTTTCACCACCACCCTTCATATCCTTTAATTCGTACATGTAAAATGTGTACTGTTGCTTTCATGAGCCTGTATTTTTAACTTTATATATAAACTTATATTTAATTGCTTTTCTTTTCACTCAGAACTATGTTCTTAAGATTTATGCCCATACGTCTTCTGCTACAAAATACTTCATCATGTACGCCCACCACTTTCTACCACTCCACTCCACAGAGATGGGCACCCAGAGTGCCTCCAACTCTCTGACACTGCAAATAATGTTGCAGTGAACATCCTCACACAAGTCTCCTTATATATTTGTTTGAAAATTTGGTGGAGTCTGGGGATATATATACCCAGGAATAGAATTGCTGGGTCACAGGATATGATGTGGTTTGACCAGGTACTGTCAGATTTGCAGAATGGCTGCAGGAGTCTCCACTCCCTCCAGCAGTACATGAGAGTTTCTATATTCCTACCTCTCCTTCATTCCTGGCAATACCCAGCTATTAACATTTTCTTCCAGTCTAATAAAAATGAAGTAATATCTTACTATTATTTTAATTGCAACTCTTCATATGTTTGTTAGCCTTTTATGTCTTCTCCTCGGTAAGTAGTTTGTCTTTATTTTGCCCACTTTTCCTTTGGTGTTTCTGCACTTCCTTCTTACTGATTTGTAGAAGTTTCCTGTAGAGTCCAGGTATTAGTCCCTCATTGGTTTTAGATGTTGCAAATATCTTCTTTCATTATGTCTACTGCATCCTTAGTTGAATAGACAGTATAAAGTTCAAGATATCTACTTCTACCATCCCTGAGGTCCCTAGCAGGTGTTTGGGTTACTGAGCCACTGCCTCAGCCTCATGAAACTTAATGAGTCATTCTTGCCAAGAAATCGAGAGGAGGGACTGTCAACATTTAACCAGACTTTTGTGATCTCCCAAATCAGTTGTGGGGCAAAGCTCCCCAAAGGAAGTCTGTCACCAAAAGAAGGTTTATAGGCAGGCCAGGAGGTTGCTGACAAGGCTCCAAACACCACCTGCTGACATACTGATATCCTCTCCATAAGCCTGCTACATCCACTGTGCTTAGCAATAAGCAAGGGTTCCAAAGCTATAGCTCTTTGTATTAGTTTGTTTTCACGCTGATAATAAAGACATACCCAAGACTGGGAAGAAAATGAGGTTTAATTGGACTTACAGTTCCAAATGGCTGGGGAGGCCTCAGAATCATGGCGGGAGGCGAAAGGCACTTCTAACAGGGTGGTGGCAAGAGAAAATGAGGAAGAAGCAAAAGCAGAAACCCATGAGAAACCTATCAGATCTCATGAGACTTACTCACTATCACGGGAATAACATGGGAAAGACCAGCCCCTGTAATTCAATTACCTTCCCCTGGGTCCCTCCTTTGAGGAATGGATGATAGAACTCAAGTTGAGATTTGGGTGGGGACACAGCAAAATCATATCTTTCCCCCTGGCCCCTCCAAATCTCATGTCCTCACATTTCAAAACCAATCATGCCTTCCCAACAGTTCCCCAAAGTCTTAACTCATTTCAGCATTAATCCAAAAGTCCACAATCCAAAGTCTCACTTGAGACAAGGCAAGCCCCTTCTGCCTATGAGCCTGGAAAATCAAAAGCAAGCTAGTTACTTCCTAGATACAATGGGGGTACAGGTATTGGGTAAATACAGCCATTCCAAATGGAGAAATTGACCAAAACCTGAGAGTTACACGACCCATGCAAGTCCAAAATCCAGCAGGGCAGTCAAATTTTAAGGCTCCAAAATGATCTCCTTTGACCCCAGGTCTCCCATCCAGGTCACACTGATGCAAGAGGTGGGTTCCCATGGGCAGCTCTGCCCCTGTGGCTTTGCAGGGCACAGCATCCCTCCCAGTTGCTCTCATGGGCTGGCGTTGAGTGTCTGTGGCTTTTCCAGGCACACAGTGCAAGTTGTCAGTGGATCTACCATTCTGGGGTCTGGAGGATGGTGGCCCTCTTCTCACAGCTCAACTTGGCAGTGCCCCCGTAGGGACTCTGTGTGGGGGCTCTGACCCCACATTTCTCTTCTGCACTGTCCTAGCAGAGATTCTCCATGAGGGCCCCACCCTTGCAGCAAACTTTTGCCTGGGCCCCCAGCAATTTCCATAGATAATCTGAAATCTAGATGGAGGTTCCCAAACCTCAGTTCTTGACTTCTGTGCACTCACAGACTCAACACAGGTTCCATGTGGAAGCTGCCAAGGCTTGGGGCTTCCACCCTCTGAAGCCACAGCCCAAGCTGTATGTTGGCCCCTTTCAGCCACAGCTGGAGTGGCTGGGACACAGGGCACCAAGTCCTTAGGCTGCATATAGCACAGGAACCCAGGGCCTGGCCGACTAAACCACTTTTTCCTCCTGGGCCTCCGGGCCTGTGATGGGAGGGGCTGCCATGAAGTTCTCTGACATGGCCTGCAGACATTTCCCCCTTGATCTTCAGGATTAACATTAGGCTCCTTACTACTTATGCAAATTTCTGCAGCCAGCTTGAATTTTTCCCCAGAAAATGGTTTTTCTTTTCTATTGCATAGTCAGGCTGCACATTTTCCAAACTTTTATGCTCTGCTTCCCTTATAAAACTGAATGCCTTTAACAGCACCCAAGTCACCTCTTGAATGCTTTACTGCTTAGAAATTTCTTCCACCAGATACCCTAAATCATCTTTCTCAAGTTCAAAGTTCCAAAAATCTCTAGGGCAGGGGCAAAACGCCACCAGTCTCTTTGCTAAAACATAACAAGAGTCACTTTGCTCCAGTTCCCAACAAGTTCCTCATCTCCATCTGAGACCACCTCATCCTGGATTTTATTGTCCATATTGCTATCAGCATTTTGGGCAAAGCCATGCAACAAGTCTCTAGGAAGTTTCAAGCTTTCCCACATTTTCATCTTCTTCTGAGCCCTTCAAGCTGCTCCAATCTGCCTCTTACCCAGTTCCAAAGTCACTTCCACATTTTCAGGTATCTTTTCAGCCACGCCCCAATCTACTCATACCAATTTACTGGATTAAGTTTGTTTTCATGCTGCTGATAAAGACATACCTGAGACTGGGAAGAAAAAGAGGTTTAATTGGACTTACAGTTCCATATGGCTGGGGAGGCTTCAGAATCATGGCAGGAGGCAAAAGGCACTTCTAACAGAGTGGTGGCAAGAGAAAATGAGAAAAAAGCAAAAGCAGAAACCCCTGATAAGTCCACCAGATCTCATGAGACTTATTCACTATCATGAGAATAGCACGGGAAAGATCAGCCCCCATGATTCACTTACCTCCCCGTGGGTCTCTTCCACAACTCATGGGAATTCTGGGAGATAGAATCCAAGTTGAGATTTGGGTGGGGACACAGCCAAACCATATCATTCTTCCAAACAAACTCCAGTATGATTACCAGGAATTGAACCAGAAGGAAGTCACAGATGACAAAAGGAACAACAGATGTAGCTTGGAAGCCCTTAGAATGTATCTCTTCTCAACCATGCAGTCGCTTAGCATTGGGCGGTTCCTGTCTTCTATTCCTTTATAAACACTTCCGTTTTAATAGTAAAGTACTTAGATGTTTCTTTCTGCATGATCCACCTCTCCAAGCAAGGAAGGATCAAAGTCACTGGGATCAGCAGAGCAATGAACCCGGGACAGAACTAGCACCTGCCTTTTCCTTTATTTCAGATTTGGTTCAGTGCGGCCTCAAAACACCATGTGTACCAAGTTCCAGTTCACGCCGACACATGTGGGGGTCCAGAGGCTCACTGTGGAAATGGACTGCAACATGTTCCAGAACCTAACCAACTATAAAAATGTCACCGTGGTAGCCCCTGAACTTTCAGCTTAAATTCCCAGCTCTATCACCACTCTCCTGCCAACCCTTGCTCTACAATCTAAACCAAACATGTGCTAGGAAGAGAAACTTTGCAAAGTCTCAGTGTTTGTGTTGCTATAAAGGAATACCTGAGGCTGGGTAGTTTAAAAGAAAAGAGGTTTATTTGGCTCACAGCTCTGCAGGCTGTACAAGAAACAGTGAGGGCTTCAGGATGCTTCTACTCATGCAGGAAGGTGAAGGGAGCTAACGTGAGCAGAGATCACAGGGCAAGAATGGGTGGCGGGGGGTAGGTGCCAGGTGCCAGCCTCATTTTAACAGCCAGCTCTGGGGTGGGGAAGGGACGTATAGAGCAAGAACTCACTCATTACCCCAAGGACGCAACCAATCCATCCATGAGGGATCCAAACACCTCCCATTAGGCCCCACCTGCAACACTGGGGATCAAATTTCAACATGAGGTTTGTGGGGTTGAATATCCAAACTACATCACTTTATCAGACAAATGAGTAGTCATTCGGGATAAGCAGAAGAGTGACCAAGAACAAAACCAGATTCCCAGAAATCAATAGACAAGATGTTTATTTCTGTTACCTCAGCTAAGGCAGCCATGAAGACCAGCTGTCTTACAATAGACACTACTGGGCTGAAATGACAAAAAGAAGCCTTTGAAAAGGTGCTCAGTTACCTTTAAAGAGTACATTCAGATTGTTCAGGTTCAGGTTTTTCGCAACCATTTTACTGCTCATTAATACATTCGTAACTTACGGGTAAGGGAAAGGATCTAACACTTAAATCATTCTTATATTTCTGATGAAGTGGGATATTATCCCAAAATGGAATTTTTAGGTAATCTGAAAATTACATTGATCAAGCTGGGCTCGGTGGCTCACACCTGTAATCCCAGCACTTTGGGAGGCTGACGTGGGCAGATCACCTGAGGTCAGGAGTTCGAGACCAGCCTGGCCAACATGGTGAAATCCCATCTCTACTAAAAACACAAAAATTAGCTGGGCATGGTGGTGTGCATCTGTAGTCCCAGCTACTTGGGAGGCTGAAGCCAGAGAATTGCTTGAGAACCTGGGAGGCGGAGGTTGCAGTGAGCTGAGATTGTGCCACTGCACTCCAGCTTAGGGGACAGAGTGAGACTCCATCTCAAAAAAAAAAAAAAAAAAAAAAAAATTTACATTGATCAGTGCTTTCCCTGATCATTATCCTTAAAGATCCAAACATGACTGAACAAAGTTATACAATATAGGATCTGAAAGAAAAATTCAGCTACAGATAGGTCTTTTATTTATTTATTTTTTTTTGAGACGGAGTCTCGCTCTGTCGCCCAGGCTGGAGTGCAATGGCACAATCTCAGCTCACTGCAAGCTCCGCCTCCTGAGTTTACGCCATTCTCCTGACTCATAAGTAGCTGGGACTACAGGCGGCCGCCACCTCGCCCGGCTAGTTTTTTGTGTTTTTTAGTAGAGACGGGGTTTCACCGTGTTAGCCAGGATGGTCTTGATCTTCTGACCTCGTGATCTGCCCGTCTTGGCCTCCCAAAGTGCTGGGATTACAGGCTTGAGCCACCACGCCTGGCCCTTGGTCTTTATATTAGAGTTCTATATTCATTAAGTATCCCACAATTAAAGTCTGATGTTAATAACATGAATTTGGTCCAGCAGAGAAATATAAAAGTATATAAAACATAGGCTCTATATGAAAGGATAAAAGAACTAGTCTCCTGTTGTACAAAGTTATTTTGTTTATGTTATTTTGTTGCCTTGGCACTCTATCAGTTTGATTCTAGTTCCTTCCCTTTATGACACTTGTTAACAGTACAAAATGGCACTTCAAAACAGTCAATTAAAACTCATTTGGCTTAAAGAATTTCAACCCCAAGTATACATCAGTCACTCAAAGAATGACTGCTGTTGCTGATTATACCTAAAGAGGGCAGAAAGGCATATGTGATGAATTACACCTACAGAAGGAAGATGATGGGCATGAGAGGTGCCGGAGACCTGTAGGACATGCATAAGGCCCTATTCAGCTCACCAGAATATACATCATTACAGGTTTACACTGCTTTCCAATATGCAGTCTTCTAGACCGATGCAAAAGTACAATTAAGTGGTGATGGTTTTGCAAAAGGATGAACTGAAAAGGCCCTTAAAATTACACAAAATCTCTAATACACTAAAAAATTTTAATTTATAAAAATTTGGTATTTACATTTGGGGACACGCATAACAGAGGACAACACAAGTATGTATAAAGAAAATAAATCTGTTCAATAAGGTGGGCAAACGTAACAAATGAGCTCAATGCCAATATATTTGTGAGGCGGGGAGTAATCTGGGATAATACTCAGAAGGACTTGCTGATAATAATATGCAACATGGTGAAATACTAAGATGAATTTTGGAGTAATCTTTTATAAATAAAGTGTTTTGTTCTAAATATACTTCTGATCAGAATCAGATTTTTAAACCTACAAACCCAAATGAAAGCAATGTTCTAGTCTCAATCCACTGTATTTCTGGTAAAAAGACACTTTTGAAGGGCACTCGTTTAATCACTGGCAAGTTAGCATTTTATTGAGACCATCAACATCTTTACAATGAAAACAACACACTTTACTGTAAAAAGAGAATAAGGCAGCTTTCCTAGGAATCTCTGAGAAATGACTCAAGAATGAGAAATCATGCAATTATTTTTCATATATAGCACAGAAAAATATATTATATGCATATGGTTTATAAATAGGTGCCAACCTGGCCTAACCAACAATCTTTGGTAATAGTGTCTCTTGCTAAATATAGACAGGCACTCACTTTCAATCCAGCAAGCATTCTAGCTCCATTTTAAAAGCAGACATCAGAGCCTGACCATGATGGTGAGAGGGGGAGAAGAGAGTACAAATGAGCCTGAAAAGTCATAATTCAAGTTCACTCTGAGTGAGCTCCTTGATTCTATTCATGCAATGATCAATGGCATTAATAAGTAAAGGGATCCAACTATCTTCCGGCTGAGGGGTCACATGACTTGCTCTGAGAATAGAATAGGAAAGAAACAAGTTAAACTTGTTAGGGCATCAAGGGAAAACCTACCCTCAGGAGGGAGCACAGGGAAAACTAAAATGTTTTTAAAGGGAAGCTTCTTTGCAGAATCTCAGCTGCCCCACAACTGAAGTTGAAAGAAAATCCCACACCCACCCTTTCCCACTCCTTGAAATGGAGGCTAGGGAGTTGAGAATGTCTGGACAGGAGTTCTGTTTTACTCTCAAAAAGCTATCTGAGAAGCCTTCATACTTACTTTGTAATTTCAAGTGCCTTCTTTAAAACAGATACAAGTTTTGCAGACTAGAAAAGAAACACAGAAGTTATTCACCCCGAGCCCTACCATAAAAAGGTGAGCTCAAATATTTTAAAAGACCCAAGTAATAAAAAAATCATTTAGAAAAAGAATCTGAAGGAAGTATGCAAAACTTAAAAATGCTGATTAGGTTAGGGTGGCAGGAATATGGGTTCTTTTCATTTAGCAAGATCTTGTTAATACCATTGCTATAACATTTTAATAAATTTTTTTAGATCTAAAATATTTTCAATTTATTTATTTATTTATTTATTTATTTATTTATTTATTTATTTATT